GCTACCGAAGATCATCAGCAGAAGACTCGCGCGCTGTTGTGGTGTTGAGAAGGCAAACTGTATCACTTGCTAAGGAAACTGCGCGGGTCGGTTTGTCCTGCACGGAGGAAGATTTACCCCGAAAACAGGAAACGTTTAGGGAGCGGTGTGATATGTTGGCGCAGAAAATTATCGTGTTTGTAAATCACGGGGGAAAGTGTGTGTGTGTTCTCTCGGTCAGGGTGGGGGCGGGGACGGCTGAGTGTCAAACAATGCAGATATGATGTAAACACTGGGAAATTATGGCGCTGTCTTACCTTTGCACCTGTTTGTAGGTGGTGAAATGATCTAAAATTTGCTAACGAAAACGAAAAGAGGACATTTATAGACCGTTTTGCGGCGAGATAAGCTATTGGGAATGGTTTGTGATTGATATATGCAGACAACATAGAATATAGCAAAGCTTTGGCAGATGTATGAATAGCAAAGCAACTGTGGTTTTATCTGAAGTAGGATGTTTAAGGAAAAAGTTCAGGCTCATCGACCAGTGTTTTACTTTGATATGAATGACGCAACTTCACTTCAAATACAATATTTCAATCTCATCTACTTATTTTGAAAGTCTTTCTCGTTTTCAATAGTTGTGCGAGGACGTTGAAGTTAGAATTTTACCGTTTTATTCTTGAAACTGTTCCAAAACGTTGCTCATACTAACATTCCGTCGGAAATCGCACCCAAATCCCCAGATTTCGTCCAAAGACACCAGACAAGTGGTAATATTCTATTTTGGTGGATTAGCGCGGGCCCAAGCCCTGCGCCCTGCCGCTAACGTCAACTAGTCATCTTTGAAAACTCACAAGCACTTCGCCCCCCGGTATTATGAAAACCTTGGAGCTGGGATTTCATAATTTACAAAACCACAAGTCTGGGGCCAGCTCTCCGCGCACTTCCCGAGGTGCTGTTTGTATAGCCGTTTCTCGTGGGGAACTAAAACAAGTCAAGTACGCGCGCACAGTAGAAGTATTGAGGTCTTGTATTATCCAAGCTTACGTTGCATACCGACGTGTGGACTTGCGCCACTAGTAATGCTTTGATATCGGCAGGGAACGTCCAAGTTCTAACTCATAATCATTCTCACGTGGAAAATGAGTGTCTGGCTCCGGTTAAACGTTAATTTTCCCTGCGGGAAGGTGTTTATCCGGTCCCCGACCTCGCCATACCTGAGACTCCGCCACATCTTCTACAAAATAAACGGCGTGGTCGCCATACCCGAGGTGTTGACGTACAAGGATGCAGACTAGGGTGGGACATAGGGAGACACTGACGTAACCACAACAACACAGCACTGTCTTATTAGAACATCATCTCGTAAGAGAGCTTGTCTGAATGAGGTTGTGCACACGATTAAAGCTACACTGCATGACGCTTCGTGAACTTCAAGCATGCCCATTTCTTTTTTGAATATCACTTAAGTATTGGATATTTTTATTAACCGGTACGGAGTCTGTGGGTTTGTTATTTGTCATCCACATGCCATATATTTGATGTTGGTGTTGCCAGTCATGATTTAGTCGCAATGGCACTTATAGCATTAAGATGGATTTAGAATGCTTCTTTCGAAGGCATAAACAATATCACACAAGGTCAACAGATAAACCTTTGTTTGTTAACGGTTACCAAGGGAACATGGTTCACATCCCTAAGGACCAGCTAGTGAAAATGATTGACAGATGAAATGGAATTTTGCTACCTGTTATTTGTATTAATCTCCAAGAAGATGATCTAATTTTGGCTCATCTTGCAAATACATGTAACTGATGTAAGTAAGTATTTTAGTTACACCTTTTTTCACTGATCGTCTCACATCGTGGTTCAAAACTCTTGTGTATGTATGTGTTTATTTGCTCGATAAGGAAAAACTATAGCTGGCATATGAAAGCAGAATCTTGCTACATTTGTGATGTGGACTTCTGCGAGGTTCCTTAATAATAATGCACAGAACTCGTAGGGTCAAAAATCAAACGGAAATTGATCTTGATAAAGCCTTTGATTGAATTATGATGATTTGATAATTGTGCATTACTTTTGAGCTGTTTCTTATAGACTCAAAGCTAGAAAAATATAATGATGGATTCGCTTTCTGACGCACGCACGCACGCACTAGTCACCCTTTCTGTTTGAATTGATGCCAACGTGTAAAGATTCTCAGAACCCAAGAGATTCATTTTTGGCCAGCAACGGGCGAATCGTGCCTTATTGCCCTTTGTCTACTCAACAAGAGTGCGAGGTAGAATCTCGTCATGACGTCTATCTAACATCTAAAGTTATCTATCACGTCACCTGGTTCGGTGTTGATACAAATGAAAGAAGACCTGGTGAGTCAGTCTTGGCACACAGAAGGACTGCTGGCTCTGCGCGCCTAATCGTTACTTTTCTAAGTTCGCCATAACTCTCGGTACACTTATCTTCCACTTTACAACTTAACAACTCATAATTCATGTGGTTTCCTGGCCAAATGTGGTTATCATATGATATTAGACAAGTTACGAATGTCATGGAGGTAGATTGCTTCCCCAGACGGCACATATGAGACTCACGAGAGCGGGAAAACCCAAGACTAACTCTGCTTTTTACGGACTCGACAAGGATCAGGCTTAAAGGCGGTGAAACGTCCTTACCCTGGTGATGATAGGCGCGAGTGAGAATCGCACACCTGTCGTCTGCGTTGCTCCAGCAACCGCGATTTCTTTCCCTCAGATTTTGGACGACGTGTGGAGGGAAACGCCAGATACAATGAGGGCTCAGCCTAAGCTCCGACGTTTTCCTGTTGCTTTTGTTGTTTTTCCCCGGTTCAGGGGTGTGAGTTCAAATCCAGCGGCTTGTGGGTAGATGTGAAGCCGGGGACCATCTGCGTTTCGCGCCCTCCGCAAGACCCGATAATCTTAAGCTGTGCAAACACCCTTCAGGTCGTCGGGTCAGAAGGCAGGGATAAAGACAGATGTTTTAATGCTCTTTCTATCTGCTGCAGGAATTGCCTGATTTTTGGCACTGATTATTTCATGAACGCCATCAAGATGAGTGAGCGGCATTGCCAGCAGCTATGCGGAGAACGTGAGCAGCAGATGGCTCCAGGTGTGAGATGACTAACAGCGGTCTCCTCGCTACATCTAGCGGTTTAATATAAAAGTGCAACAACGGCAATGTACCTTTCACCATGCCAGACGGTTGCGCAGTTGTTTTTGTGCTGCATCAAGGATTCGGACTTTTTCATAGCGATGCAATGAAGCAGTAGGAAACATCACATGATATGAAGTCTCGAACAGACTCTCTTCGGTGCTGAAAACATCAGTAATTGGCCATGACATTGTTCTAAGTAGCCGTGGAGACTCTTGATTCGGGCTTACATTTCATTACCCTCAGCAAGCAAGAGGGTAATGAAAATTATGTAAACCTGAATCAAGAGTCTCCACGGCTATGTTCTACGTAGTGTGAATAATGTCTTAGAAGAGTTAGAATGCCAAAGCGTCCAAGACGCACCCAAAGAGCCCGGTGGAGGCTAAAGATGTGCCAATGTTCAGGTTTTAAACACTCATTCCAACAGTAAGACTTGCTTGCTCACTTGAGTGCTTTTCAGGTGTAGCCAATAGCTGCATGTTTCAAATGCACCACTAGAGGGCGCTAAATCACTGGGCAGGGTCAAGTCACTGCCATCAGTGGCCATCAGTGCCATGTGAATCTCGCCAAATGTCAACCAAAAACTGAGGGAAACCCAATTTACAACAGTGATTGGCTGTTTCGACATCATTCGAACAATACAGTCTATTGCTTACAGTACAGTGCAATACAGTCTAGTACATTGTACTTGATACAGAAGTTAGGCACATGCGCTTAGCGATTTTAACAAAATATTACGCCAAATTCAGACGCTTTAGCGGCTTTTCGTAAACATACACCGATTACGCTCTGCGTTAAATTTGAGTGGTCCACCTATGAATTACGTGGAATTAAACCGTCTGGTTAGGCTCTACGTAAAAGGGCATGGAGGCCCCTTTGGTCACTCGAGAGAAGACATTGGCCTGTAATGTCTCCAAGAGTTTGGCCAAGCACCTCTACTCTTATTCCCTATATTCTTATATATTAGATAAGTTCCCCAGCTTTGGACATTTAAATGAAGTAGAAAAATTCAGATTTATTATGAAACTTGACAAATCATGTATTATTGGTTCCATATGCTCGTACATCTATAACTGCGTCAAGAAGCGAGAAGAAGTTGAACATATAAATAGTAGATCACATTAGTATGTATAGTTAAGTGCAATTGCTGTATCCTTTTTCCTTGTCTATCCATGACCTGTACTTAGCTTGTTAGAGCACAAACGTACAATAAAGGTCTTCATTCATTCATTTTATAGCCATGTATTAAGTATATTTCCCCACTTCAGATATTTGACTAGTAAAGAGAAATTTGTATTCCTTTTAACTTTTGATAAACCTACTCTAAGTAATCTCACAGCCGAATATATCCATACAATCACTACTAAGCGAGATGAAGCCGAAAAGAATAGAAATTAGACATTATTTACACTCTTATATGTTCATTTGTATGTAATGTATATGTTTATGTTCATGTTCTGTACCCACGCGACCTGTACTTAGTTCTGTAGAACACAAATGTACAATAAATGTCTTCTTCATTCATTCTTATTCCATACGTACATGGGATCGAGGGCCGAAAAAATGCCCCATCTGCGAGGACGACCCTCTCGCTAAAACATACATGAATACATCTGCTTCACAGTGTTTATCTGCTTAGAAGCATGAACGCGTTTGTGCTTGCCATGCAGTCTTATTCCGCCGAGGGGCGCGCTTAACTCATGTGACTTCAGTCCGTCTGAGCAATTTTGAAAACTGACCAATCAAAAATCTTCTAAGACATCGCGCTTCCTGGTAGGCGGCATTGACCAATCAACGCGAAGTGCACAAGTCACATGCCTTAGACAAGATGGCGGGTGAGTATTGCACTTTTTTCTTCCCAATTTTTGCATTCCTGTCGCATTTTCTGTCCCTCAGATGACGACTCATCCTCTGCTGTCACCATTCACAGATCTGACGCTCCTTCAAGAGGACACAGACGACTTCTCGTACCAAGGTAAGGCCCGAATTGTTTTAAAACCCACTCCTTTTGAGGTGCCTTTTTGGAAAAAAATTCCGACACTTGCAGAAGCTCCGTGGGATTTTCTACGGCGTCATTCATTTTTCGATCGACATTTTCCCCATCCTGTGACCCAGTCTAGCACCTAACATCTCATGAATGGCACCATTTTCGTGTATTTATACCCTACCATATTTTATTACACGACTTGAGGACTTGTTGTATAGCAGGGCGACTTGTAGCAAAGTTTTATTCTATGCAAAAACTGGGCCGCCAAATCGGCATGTTCGCCGCCGGAAGTCAGACGGCGTTTTTAACATGTGAGCCCCCAGGTCAGATTTTTCACCTGCACTCGAGACATCTAAACACACCCTACAGGATCAAAGGTGAAAAGGGCCACCCCGCGCCTGTAAACTGTCTGTTTGGAACCCGAGTTTACCCGAGTGTAGCGTGTGTAAGGGAAGAGGAAAGGTCGTTATGATATCTGACCCCATTTTCATTATTCAACATGGGGGAGGGCACACGGGAGTGGAACAGTTGGGGGTAAAGTGGCTACATGCTCATCCTTCTGCGGCGTCAATCCTGATTCTGCTGTTTCTAGTCTTTCATAAATAAATCCATGCGCAAATATTACGGGAGAATTTTTGTATGTAATTTTATACGAATTGTGGATGAAAGTAAGGAAGTTGTGCCCTCTTTTTGAAGTTCCGTAGATAATAATTTGTGTTCATGTCACGAAGTTTTTGTTTGTCAAAAATTATGGGTCAGACGGTTGAGAATTTTGTGCGTCCAAAGCAGCTAAATTTGAGAAGAGACGGAAGAAGTTATTGGTGGATTCTGTACAGAACCCTTGGTAGTTTTGCCTTGTCCTTATCCAAATACATGTGTAGCACTTTTTTTATGACTTTACCATTATGGCTATCGTTTCTAAATTATGGCCATAATGGCCATATTACTGTTGATAGTAGTATGCCAAGTTGACGTCAAATTGATGAGGAGTACAAATTTTATGTTGATTCCTAACTTCGATAATTCTTTTCTTAAAAATTTAACAGGTCTAGGATAAAGTTGATAAATTAATCCTTTGGTCCTGGTACATTTTACTGTACATCTTTTGTTGTCATATGAATGCAGCTTTGTTGTATACCCATACTCATTCAACATCCATAAATGTGGGTCCATATATAAATAGCCCCCTTTTCTCCGGATACTGGTCAGAATACTGACTTCCAATCAATACATTCCGTTTGCCATTGAGAAACAGTTGCTAGGAGAACAATCTCTTCCATACCGGCATATCGGTGCCCTTTGGATGGTTTACATCTTGGAGATTTGGGGGGTAAAAGTCTTGGCTAGAGTTATCTCTAGAGAAAAAGAATCTCTGGGCCAGTTGTTGTTCAGAAGACAGGGACTGCTGCAAACACAGGTGGTGGGCAGATTGCCAGAACCCCTGGGAACGAGAACAACTGCGTCTGTTCACCTGCCTGGGACAGAGAGCTGTATCACATGTAGGCTGGTTCAACAAAGTTTTATGGAAATATCAATCCTCGGTTACTTTATATTGTAAGCTGGATCCTGGTTGAGTCGTTTCTTCAAGCTGAAAGGATCATCCTAGATCCTGGACCTGAAATGAGATGATTTTCCATTGTAGACTGAATTGTGATTTATACATCACAGGGACCTCCCTAAACAATGGAGCAGTGGAGCTCCTCCACCCAGTCCTTATCTCAGCTCCACCCTGTTAATTTTCAAAACTAGTGTTTTTACACCCTTTTCCAGGGTTCTTTGGTCAAATTTACCGATATTTCGCACCCTCCTCCATTCTGTCCTAAATTTCTGGGGAGATCCCTGCATCAAAGATATAATCTTCTACATCCTGAAAGGATTTGTTGGTTGAATATTGTATGAAAGTTTATTCTAAGATGTGCCCTGAGAGAATTATAAAATTGTATGTGTAAAAGTTTACTGAAAGAATGCAAAAGAAACAATTTTTTACAGCAGCTTTTCCTGTGCCTTTTTCAATTTCACGTTTCTTTACATCAAGTAACTTCAAGTCCAACTTCTAAGTTGGTAGCTCAGGGTACAAGTGTGATGTCATTACTGATGGAGTAGGCAGGGACTTCCGCTGAAGCCTTCCAGAAGTTGATGACAGCTGATAGCCAGGAGTGTGTCTAGGGGGTTAATTAGTACACACTTCTACCATTCCTCCTGTGGCACACACACAATCACAGGCACTTTAGACATGTGGGCATTGTTATACCTCCTTCTGTAGGTCTCAGAGCTGCAGGCATTTTTGTCTTGTGTAAACTCAGGATGGTTTGAGTTGCAGTATTTCAATGATGTTGGAACATGCAATAATGTATGGAACTTGTTTAGCATGAAGAATTGTATGTGCATGTACATGGATATCCCTGGTATGTATATATGTTTAGCTTCAATTAGGCATCACTATTCCATAAATGTGTATTACAACATTACAGGAACGTTAGTTTGCTTGCTCGATTCTAGATTATCATGAAATGGTGCTGATGAATTGGAAGACTTATTATGTTTAGTTGGATGTCACTTTCCTCCACTGTACAGACCATGTAAGTTACTAGTATTCCTTCAGGTGCAGGAAATCAGGAAACATGTTCCTGTACTTGAACTTCCTTCAAGGAAACTCTGAAGTACAGGAGACTGGGATGTCTGGTCTGTATCCTACATAATACACCTGTCTGAGGGGACAGGTGGCCAGGTCAAAGTTCATCCCTGCTATAACCCCAGGGCATTGACCCACAGGTCACAAGACTGGTGACACATTGTACTCAATCTTCGATTTGTATTTTAATTCCTCAACTTTCCTTCATTCAATAAGTCCCGAGACACTAAAAAGTCTGGCATTTAAAAAAAAGATTGACCAATATACATACGTTAACAGTTTAGAATTCCAGTCACATGCTTTGGTAGTCAAACAGGCTAAAACAGGATGTCATCAGGTTTTATTATATGATATCATTTTCGGACATTTACTGCAAGTGGTTGTACAGGTAATGCTGCTGCAACCTATACTTCCCCCAGGTTGCCCACTGCGCAACCACGGCTGAAGCACCATAGCTCATTGGCGTGCAGCATACATTGTGCCTGGTAATTACAGTTGTGAGGAGATAACATGTAATTATATACCTGGGGATGGCCTACTTGGCAACCCAGCATGTCCCAGTTTACATGTCTGTAGTGATCATACACTCCTGGGTGCTTAATACATTTTGATGACTATGTGTTAATGGAGGTTGGGTTAATGTAGTTATGGCATCAATGCCGGCAGTGGAAATGTGGGGCATCGCCATTTATTTATAGCCTCACATGTCAGAGGACAACTCAGGAATGATATGTTACAGGCACGAACACAGTCTATTTTTATGTATAGACAGAAACTGTATTTTAACATGTGTGAATGAGAAACACGTGAATACAAATATAAAACGTGGCAAAAAATGTTGATGGAAAAGGTTTTTATTTGTAGGATTTTACAGTGTGGGGAAAGATTAAAGAATTCTGTTGCAGAAAATATTTTTCAGGCAGTTTTAGAAAGAATATTCAAATTGGCCTTTGATGAAATTTTTGAAACAGTTATGTTTCTGCCATAGGATCATAAAGAAATTTTTAGATATTGTAGTTGGTTGATAGCTGACACAGATGTCCCCTTTAATATGTATTTTTTTTCTTTGAATGAAGATGTAGGTTAATAGAATTATTGGTAGTCAACACATGTACGCGATGTCAATACATTTCAACTTCATTTCTGGGCGGCTTAGATCTGTCGGGTGACTTGAAAGTAGCATTACGACACAAACTGCTTACATTTTCACCATAGGCTGCTATAGACCCGTGTGAATGTGCACTGTGGGACTATATACCATTAGAAGATTGACGTCATATCATGCACTCCATGATTTCCACTGACGATAGACTGAAATTATTACCTTTGTGGCTAGGAGACGGCGCACTACACCATGCCATGTACTTACATATGGTATCCACGTCGCCTGGAATTCCAATTTGTAACCATGCAGTTAAAGAATCAGGCATGCTAAACGGGTCATGTGTGCAGATAGGTGCACTTATTTGTATTGTAAATGTGGTGCCCTTCTGATAAATTATTAACTAGTCTCGCTCGCTGTAAAAACAATGAAGGGGTTTGCCAATACATTAATAATAGATAGTGGCATTTAGAGTTCATATGTGTAGTGTACACCCGCCCTGTCTCTTTGTGTGTGTTTGTAGTGAACATTTCCAGCGGCATGTCCAAAGCACTCCATTATTATGTACATGTTAGTGTTATCTTACATTTTATTATTTGTGCAGTATAAATAACTACAGGTATTTTGTAATTTAGAAGAAAAGTTAAGTTTTTATAAATCACAATGTAAATTCTATAATACACGTGAAATTCTGGGGATAAAAGATGTTTTCCCTATAGCTGTATTTGTCAAGATATACCGGTTTGGCGCTGCAGATAGGTATAATGATGCAGGCATTTAAAGTTGAGCACCTCGGGCAGCCATTAGGCTGGGCCTTGCGGGGTGGGATGGTCCGTCCCAAAAGTTGCCTGACAGGGTTGAGCACGCAGCAGTCGGCTCGCACAGGTGCCCGACACCATGTCTTACATGTACCACGCCGGCAGGGTCCGATTCAGAGGTGAGGTCCTTAATGTCATTATTCACCTGCACCTGTCTCAAAGCATCTCTAGGTCATGGCAAACGGTGAAGTTTCCATTGCAGAGCAGTGGCGGACTCTCGGACTGACAGGTTTAGGCCAGGTTACATGTACGTGCGTAGAACCATGCATGTCTGAGGTCAACAGTGAAAGGATGGGCGGTGTGGAGTGGGTTAGATAGGTTTGCTACATGTTTACCACATGGCACAACTGAATATGTGGCAAGGTCATACCTAGGTCGTAGTCTGAAATGTAAATCATTGAAGACGTGTGTGGCTTTAATTGCATTGCACGATAATATTTAGGGACTGGTGTCGGACAAGTGTCCTGATAGTCTGGTGTTTTTCTGCATCATTCAACAAGGGATGTCTAAAAATGAGTTTACGGCATGCATGTTTACACAAGCAATCGGAGTATGCCTGTCTGTTTACTTGCCACAGGAGGTAAACAGAGCAATGTCCAGGGCCACAAACAAAGACTTACAATACAACAATTAGGGGATTAAAGGATTGACACCTGTCTGTATAATTTTCTTAGCAAATTTTAATACAATATCTCAAAAAAGTTTTTCTTTTGTTTTCTTGTAAAGCAATCGTTACAGTTTGATTATTGAAATATGTAATATCATTTATCTGTGATGGAAAGCTGTGGAAGGAAGGATGAGAATGTGTTAACTTGTGGTATGAAGGTGACTTATATTGCAGTCTTGCATACGCAGTTGGCCTGTTGTGCTGACCTAGACTGGTGTGTGGGTGGCGGGGGTGGCCAGGCTGGCACTCAGGCATTCGTGGTCTGAAATACTTAACGCTGGTCACTTTACATTTGGAACGTCATTACAACAAGGGCACAGCGACGGAGATGTTACATGTCAGGTCGGGTTTTCCAGTGAAGTTGTTAAAAAGAATATGCTTGCCTTCCCGTTTTGATGTCACAAAATTGGACACGCACACAGTATTTCAAGTCTTGTATATGGTATCTAAATTCTTCTATGGTAAATATGGTAAATATTTCTTGAAAAACTTGTATAAAATTCTATATTTCTATTGCCTTTTAAAATTTTCATTCATTAAATTAAGTGCCTACTGTTGTTTGAAATTACTCTGAAATTACTATTTCTACACATGAAATTTGATAAATCCATGCCTACATGATTCCAGTAATAATATCAGGTCATGATCAGGGACTGCCCTTACATACAGGATCACATCAACTCCTTACTACAGGGCATCACAGTAATGTGCTCTTACGTATGCAGGAAGGATTCTACAGAGAAGTTAGATTTGCCAAGGGCAATTTCATGGTTCAGTTGAAGAAGGATGGATTTCCTTTCATTTATTTGACGTACATCTAGAATTTCTTCCAGATGACATGAAAATGATGAAGCTTTTGGAAAAAAGAAAAGGATTATAAGAAGATGGTAGGAACATGATCTTAGCAGTCACTCATCAAAGAGTAAATTGTATGTTTTGTTACAATGTTGTACATAGATTGTCAATAGAACTAGAAGTACCAATTTAGTTTATTATGAAGTCCTGGTAAGATATATCACGGAAAGGATATCAACATAACAAAGGGAGTATAGCTTGGGAAATGTATTACTGTTTGAAATCACAGTAATATCACAGTGTGTACAGTAGTTAATTTTTAGTCCTATATGATTATAAAATCCCAAAAGTGTAGTTCTCTGCATGACTGATGATAACATGTATCCCCCGGGATTCTAATTATTCTGACTTAAGACCAGGCAATCTGCAATTGTTTTATTTGAATAGAAAAATTGGATTAACCCTCAAATTTATGCCGGCGTTGCCAGGAAAGATGAATGATAAGCAGCAATTATGAATATATGGAAGTCGTGACATTTGGTCTTTTGAAAGTGAAGGTGATCTTGAATCAGTTAAGCTCACAGAAGAGCTGAGCCTTCCCCTAGTCGTGACAGAGAAGACAGATGCTGTGTACTATATTGACAGGTTCACTCAACCAGGGAAAGTCACAGAGCTCTTTTTCGAACAATGGACTACTGCTTCACGTCTTGTCCTGGGATAAAATGTTTTCAAAACTTTTAGCAAGTTGATGATACATTGACCCAAAACTAATTCAAAAGCTTTGGTGTAGTATGTCTCACAAGATAGCTGACTGAAGCCCCCACCCAAAATTTGTCATGCCTTTCGTATTGGACAAAGCTCCCTCAAATTGTGAGGACAGACAAAAGTTTCTGTAGGAAAAAGCCCTGTCTTGTGCATTGATTGGGTCATGTGTATGCCCTGTGAATAACCTTGTCAGCATCTGATAACAGAGCCTAGCCATTTTCCTGGACAGGGATGTGAGCTTTCATCCCTCAGCCTGACAGGCTAGGGAGATGGGAGACCCAACATTTACTAATGGATGCATGGTCGTCATGGCAACCATATCATGCTTGTCTGTTACAAGGTCAGCTCACAGAACAGTGTCTTCTTGAGGTTTGGATTTGTACTTTTAAATCAATTTGACCAGTATTTTGTTCTGTGAGTATTTTGGCATGCCCTTCAATGCAACCTCAGGTAACAGAAGTGTCTCTCCCCTATCAAGAATGTCCGTGGAATAGTCCTATTTAATGTAATACATTTTCTGTCCACAAATTGACAGATTTATGGGTGGGTTGGGGTTTCAGTGGTACTTAGTGATGTTGAGTATATTGTAATGGGGAGAGCTATTGTAATGTGAGGGATCTTCTGTAATTCTACTTAAGCCTCGCACACTGCAACTTGCTGACGTACCGATAGGACCAGAGGGTCGTCAGTGGAGTATACTGCAAATCAATTTATGTTTGCAGTAGAAAAAGTTTGCAGTCTGACAAAAATGGACATGTTCACGGAACTATATGTTTGCGGTTGTGGCAGGTGCGACATAAAGAAAGTCGGCAAATTATTAGTTCACAAAATTATGTCCACAAGTACATTTTGAGGAAAGGTTTTTAAGCAAACCTCCCACACACCCAAGAAAAAAAATATTTGTAGGAGTTTTTTTTCCGTAGCCTGTTTCTCTTAAGCATGATTATTCTGCTGCACTGTACATGCACACAGGAAATTTATTACACCACTGACTACAGGCACAATGTTCCGTCTGTCTGGCCATGGCCAATAAGGCATTACTGTCAGGGTAAATACAGATTAAAATCTTGTACTTGGTTAAGGGTGGCCGTTCAACTTGGCCATAACTCCTTGTGTCTCACCAGTGCGTTTATTAGGTTTGCAATGTCGGTGGTTCTAGTTCTGACATTTACCTATTCTACATTACACAATGCACACAGATTTTATTAATTTTCTAGTACTGTATGTACTGATATATGTGCATCTTAGGAAACCATTATCACCCTCGAAAGGCAGAAAATAGTGATGCAGAACGTCAAGATTAAAAAAAAAAATTCCCTCAAAATGCAGGAAAAAGTGATCCGAGATTTGAAAATCAGGGGAGGATATCTCCGGACCACCTTCAGCTCTCAACATGTTACATCAAACAAAATTGAGATGATGGGAAAAATTTCAGGCAGGATAGAATACTGTCACCCCATCAAGACTTCCTTTATTGTGTATGAGGAATTTTTACTGTAATGCACTCTAGTGTCTGTAGACCAGTATTCTAACTGCATAACAGATGATGTACATGATGTTCAGTGATGTAATCTGTACCCTGTGGATAGAGCTTCAGCTCGGATCATTGATTCTCTGCTGAAATGAAAGGATTACTCCTGACTGTGTGTCCTTGGTACTGGTAGGAGGTTAGGGCCAACAGGCTTGTCTACAGGCCTTATCTATCAGATCTGGACTTGGTTGGGTAAATACGAAATTGGATATGCTTTGCCCAAATCGGCATCCAATGTCAGTTAGTCTACAATGTAATGTAGTACACCCAACACCAGGGCCATTCTTAGATAATGTTGTACCACAAACATTCTTATACTCGATGACATAATGTTTTGGTGTCCCAGTGTAAATTCTAGTGGTCAGTGGCCATTGGACCACCTTTAATTTTGAGCCCTGCCTATGCTGTGATAAGATTGTGGTGAGAACCCTGTTGTATAACTATAAATGACTGAGAGTCCATGTATTAATGTGCTGTTCTGTCCCCAGTAGGTGATGAGTTGGAGGATGGGGATGAGGAGACAGGTGGTGCTGATGAGGGATGTCCTGATGATGAGGTAGAGGATGAAGATCCCACCATGTCTGTGTTTGACTCCCAACCCGAGGAACTTCTGACTCCGCTGGCTAAACTGGAGAGGAATATCAACTCAGACAGCATCTTTAACAGGTGGGATTATTCAAAGTGATACATGTATTGCTGGTTGCACCGTAATCCTATATGTTACCCATACTTATTGCCATACCAATTGGTTCTCAGATTTTTTTTAGAAAAAAATATGATGCGACAGGGTGAAAAAACCCAGACCTAGGCATCCTTTAATAGCCCAAAAAGCTATGATAGGAGCCATGATGTCAACATACCCAGCTGGTTTATAATTCAATAAACTTTATCAAACCAATGTCTTGATAGATGGAAAAACTTTAACAATTAGGAAAACAAGGAGCTTTTGTGAACTATTTGGGCCAAAATATGAGCATTTTGGACTTTGCGAGAGGGTAAAACTATAAGTGTATCTTGAATAGAGATATATCTGCATTTTGCAGAATGTATACATGTAATCAGATAAATGGCTTTGTATGAGCCTATTACTAATCTATTTAGCATCTTTAAAACATAGACATATTGAAAGTTTACAGGCATACTTGTCGGTTTCTACCAAAGCAGCATTGACTGAAAATGGCTGCCGGTATATGATGTTCAGTGTCTATGACAGATGATGGTTTTGAAGTATTTAGTATTACCATTATCGCTCTTTTGGGACTATGGTTGCCTGTTATCAACTGAGACACATGTTACCACAACTAAGTACTGTCACCTTTCGCCTACGTCGTTCAGTACCAGATACAGATTTCCATCGCCTAATTGCCATGGGCATAATTCATCAGAGAGTGGGTGATCTGTGGTGGAATATTACCCTGTCATATTCCATACACCTCTCGGGACCTGGTTTTCATATGATGCTTTGAATTCTGCCCAGGAGCGAGGAAGAGCCGAAGATCCATGTAAAGATGAAAAGAGTGATAATGGCTTTGATGTATACATTTTTACTTACATTATGGTAGTGTTACTGTTAGTGTGATGGTAAAAGATGAATCACTATCTGGCTACATTTTGTTTGAGCAGAAACGTTTCTTACCTTTACTGGTAAAGTTAAGGAAACCAAATGAATTTTGCTAGGGAGCATTACTCCATCTTCAGTGAACCGACTGATCTTTCAAATCACAACTAGTATTATAGTATATTTAGTGTCTTATGGCTAAAATGAACAAAACTGAAATAAAAGAATGAATATCATATACTGTTAACGTGAGTGACTGTAAACAGAGCTTGCACTTGGCTCAGTCCCAGAACAAGTTGATAAAAGCTGTGATTTGCCAGAGAAGGTCAGGATGAAGGTCAAGTGCCTGGTAGCTGACAGCTGTTATTGACTCTCAACCCTGCATAATCTCCCAGTCCTGCCGTACTGCCGTCTTAATCACTGGTACCGCACGCTGTGACCTAAGACATTCTTACCATCAAGGTTCTCTACATGTACGCCAGGTAGCCATTCAAGCTAGTTCTGTCGGGAGAACCCATCTGTTATCGGTAAGTAGAAGAAGCCTGCTGAATTCTGACAAGTGAACAAAGGAATTGTTTCAGAAGCTTGTTTGTTTAAAAAAGACTTAGCCCGTGGCTAGATTCTTTAGATTGCATATGGCTCGTAGAAATCTGCCGACAGTTTGGGCTGGGTAGAAATCCTTGCAGAATAGAGCTAGCAATGCTTATTACCGCTCCGTTATTGGTTATTCTATCTGGGATAGGACTGCGGTCCAAGGTCTTGAGTAAGGACAATGTTGAAGCGGTGGAATGGAAATGAAGGCTGACGGATGTAGCCCAGTTGCTGGACAGGTCAAAGCTCCTGTTCAGACGGCTGTTGTTTAAGTGCTGTCTGTGGTCCAATAACTGAAAGTGCACCATTATCAGACCATAATCAGATAGGCAGAGTTATTGTTATCAGAAGGCAGTCTCTTCAACCAAGGGTTTGATGGGGAAGGATGAGAAAGAGTCTTATGTGTGATATAATTCAAGGCCAAGCACAGTAATAGGATTTGACAGTGTATTGATTTGTTCCCATTTTATACATTTTCATGACTCCTTGGTTTCTTGGCTGTGCCTGGTTTGATGTGATACATTTTTGTCCGGTAAAAATCATACATTGAAGTACATACTGTTGAATGATGTGTATTCATGGATGTCGTTCTTGTGTTTTGACAGACAAATGATTACGCGGAGCCTGTTGGAGACGTTGCGGAGCGTGTACCGTGACCAGGATGGGACCATGGCGGTCATGCGTGCCATGGTGCAGCTCTCACAGGATGTTGGTAGGTAGAGCTTAGATCTAGAAGCTTTTCATGTTGTCTACCTATTCGCAAATAGACTTCTCATCACCTTGTTCTTTTGATGGGAAAATTCAAAGGGTTTAACCTGAAACAGCATTTAAAGTGACACTAAATGAAATGAAGTAAGGCCTGGGAAAAAATGTTGTGTTTCCTGTTTCCCGACCGACTCTAGCCGACCCAACCTTTCTTTTTTGTGTGGATCCCTGCAAGGGACATACATTTTTCGAGCTGATCAACCTTTCTAACTCCATGATCTGACACCCTAGTGACAAAACGTTCAATCAGCATTTTCAGCATTGACATTGAAAATGTAAGTGTCCTCATGCAAATTTTACTTTGTTAACCTGTATTGTATAAGTTGGATCCCTAGAGATCGCCAAAGTCTAATAAAAAAAAAGAAAACTTTTTCAGCATTGGAACAAGAAGCACAACATTTTTTACGTAGGTCTAATAAGTCATTTGCAACTACTTACCGGTAAAAAAATCTTCCTGCGATACACAATAACCTCTTTTCCCTGTTCTGTAGAGCCCACAGTGCGGGCAGAACTGATGGAACAAGTGCCTCACATTGCCATGTTCTGCCAAGAGAACCGTCAGTTTGTTGGTGACATGGTGCCGCAGTACGTACTGCCCATCATCGTCAAGTACCTGACTGATACCAACAATCAGGTATGGAGTTTCCATGAGGTACGGCGACTTTTTCTTACCTTAAACAAAAAAAGAGTTGGGATTCGCTTTGTAAAAAGAAGGCAGAAAAGAGGCTTGCTTGGCATGGTGTGATGCAGTTCCTTCTGTGCCTTTGCAATGCTCTTTTTGATCTGTTTGAGCTTCTATGTAAGAGATTGACATAAAGTGTCTTGGGGTGTTGCTGTAGCTGAAGTAAGTTGGAGTCACGTTTTACCTGGGAAGTGGTGACAACGTTTGGCCTGACTTTTCCTGGCCTGATCGGAAAGAAGGCTTCTGTTGTGTGGTGTTTTCCTGTCCTGCGTTGTTGCTGGTGTGAACATGGCTTTTATACCTTGGAAGTGATAACCCTACTGGGTGGCTGTGGAGTAAAACTCACATGCTGTGCATGTATCGAGAGCCTGCATCCAATAACTATAGCTACACAGGCATTCTGGTGGCAGCTTACAGAAAAGGAGATAGATTAGTACATGGGACTGCATGATAGATGTCCACTCCTGACAAATCCTCACATAACAGTAGGACCTTAAGAATGCTTTGTGCCGTAAGCTCTCCTAGATTGCTCATACTAACCACCCTCTCAACCAGCCCAGACAGAAAATGGCCACTTCTTGTCTTGATTATGCCTGTCAGGCCCTTGATGTACGTGTGCTTTAGTGGTGGGATATCTGCTTTCATGTGGACTGAAGTGTCTTTTGAAAAGGCATCACGTACACCCGACCAGCCATAAGCCACAGTCTGGCTTTTATTCATATCCCGTCAGTGTCTTGTTTGTAACACTTCAAACGCTGTTTCTCAGAAAAATGCAGTTTCACCATCTAGTTTAGACTGGCTTATCGAAAATGAATGGGTTTCTAATTTTTTTATTTCAAACATTTTTTTCTGAACGACAAAATCTGCTTCATCGTCTGAAAGAATTTTTACCATGGAAAACATTTGTATACTGTAAATCACAATTTTTTCACATAACTTTTTTATTTGCGGTAGAAGTGACAGCAAACTTATCATTATCGTGAACAAAAACTCGCAGACTCTTTTTGCTGCACCTGCCACCATATTGTTCCTCAAACATGTCCATTTTTCTCAGACTGCGAACTTTTGCTACCGCGAACATACAGTGATCTACAGTATTGTACCGTGGTAGTGTGTGTAGTGTGGTGTGGTGTGCTATCCATAGGCTCAGCAGGAAGAAACATGTGCTCCATTGTTTTTTGCCTTGCCTCAGGTGCGGAAGACTGCCCAAGCTGCTTTGCTGGTGCTACTGGAACAAGAACTGGTGGAGAGGGGTAAGACTATTGGTCGTTAGGAAAGGGTCAAGGTTTGGTAGCTGCCAGAGTTCTCAACATTTGTGAAAATTTTGTGTATCTAATGTCCTAAATACATGTATGTACTGGGCTGAAAGACATTGAACGTATGTCTAAGTGGAATGTCTATAATAAATGAGTTTTTCAATTATGGAGGCATTGGCTGATGATGATACATTGTTGATATCCTTACATCCTGTTATTGTGAACATCAGCTTTCTGATTACTGAAATTATAAATTTTCAAGATTTCATGTTCTCTCACTGCAACCTTATTGTTTCAATCAAAAGATTCTGTAGATTATTTTCATCACGCTACAAACATACATGAATTTACAGTATTTGCCTTTCTTTCCCTGTCAAATCAGGTGTTCAATATTGTTGTGAAAATCATCTCATGTTGGTTGTTACATGTTTGAATTTAAAACTTTCGATCCAACACGAGATTGTTCTCATCTAGAGCATTCGACAAGTCACTGTGGTCTTCCTCAATAGACTGACCCAGTAAGACTTGTCATGTGGCTACTCTGAACTGTGTTGACGTCACACTTCAGAGAAGCCACATGACAAGTCTCACCGGGTCAGTCTACTGAGGAAGACCACAGTGACTGGTCGAAAGAACTAGGTGAGAACGATCTCTTGTGTTGGATCCAAAGTTTTAAGTTTAAACAATCCGTACGTGTGTTAGTGATGTTGTGTGTGTGTCTCATCAGGTGATGTAGAAGAACAAGTGGTTCCCCTGTTGCTAGAACTGATCGGTCCAGAGATGGGGGATGACTACAAGACAGAGGCAGTAGCTGTAAGTGTCTGGACTTACCGAAAGCACCAAGCTCTCACAAGCACAACAGTTGTCACACTGCTTTTTTTTAAAAATCTAAGATAGCTTCATACAAAATGATATGGGGCTTCAACACCAGTTCCAACACAAAATAGATTGGAAATATTTTAAGTCAAACAAAATGTGCCTATTATGTGATATTTTTAATCATTTTTGTTCACTTACATCCAAAGAAATTATGCAGCTGATATATCTTTTGAAAAGATTACTTTGTTGAAAGGTGGGTGTTGGATACAAGTAACAAGGTAGCAGGTAGAAGTGGAAAGAAGAAATTGTTTCCTGTCATGATCCACACAAGGTGCTGCTGTGGCTGTGTGAGCTTGAAGTTGAATACTGTAGATGAGTTAGTATATCTGTGACTTGACAATCACTTCCTCAGTCCTGTACTCAACATTTTCCTTCGACAACTTGTTCTCAGCACCCCTTGGGCTTCACACAGTAGTAGGATGTGTTGTGGATACTACATTATTAGTACATAGTCCATGGAAGAGCAATGGGCTTTAGAGATACTAAAAAAAATAGGTTTTGTAGACATAAGATAGGAACTTCGGTGGAAGTAAACCAAACAAAAAAACATAAACAGTTACTAAGACACAGACTCCTGTTGTTTTTCTGTAATGTAAGGGTTCAGATTTTCCAGTTAGTCATTGATTTGCAGTTGTACTTGTCTTGGATCAATATTCCATTGAGTGACGGGCAGCTCACTAGACAATAAATAATCATTCATCGAAGAAGATTTTGCTCTAGCTGTGCAAAAAGTGCTCCTCATGAACATGGAGATTTGTTATCTTTCATTTCCTTTTTATATAACTTAAAAAAATTTTTTTTATCACATTGTTAAATCTTCAACCCTTGAACAGTTTTACTGAAACATAAAATGGGTTCCATTCCATTATATATTGTACTGAGTGATGCCAATATGTCTAGTTGCCACTACATTGTGAAAGACATGGGTAGTGAGATTTGTATCATGGAGTCATCCCATTTCCCTGTCTTTCAACAAGGTGCTGGCAGTTTAGCAGCTGTTAGAAAGAAATGCCAAGATTACTCTCCAAAAGGGTGCTGCCATACTCTTACATATCTCCTACTTTGACTGTCTTCTTACTAAGAGAACTACTTCCATTTCTTTTGGTCTTTTTTTTTCTCATGTAAGGCCACACCAATTTAATTTGTTGGTTCTCGGATTCGCCTCTTCATTTTTTCCTGATTTGCAAAGAAAAAAAAAAAATTTCAGAATCAACTGCAAAATGCTCATATTTTGCCCTGAACAGTTGAAAACAGTCCTTTTCTTCCTAGTCAGTACAGTTATTCCATCTTTCAATGCAGTAGTATCATTAGAATAGAAGTTCAAAATCCATTGTTTAAATTTTGAACCAGCCTTTTGTGTTGACTTCATACCTCCTATCGTAGCATTTGGGGCTATAATAGGATGCCTAGATCTGTTTTTATTTTTATTTTTTTTCGCCCTGTCGCTTCATATTTTTCCTGAAAAAATCCGAGAACCAACAAATTAAATTGGTGTGGCCTAAGTTGTGCTATGTATGCCAAGTCCCGTTTTAACCTGTACGCAATTTACTTTCTCTTTTTGTATGTCAGAAACAGTCATGAAAGTTACATCACTTCAGTCCTATTTTGTGTGTAGAACTGTTTTGTAACCTCTTTGTTTCTATTCTTTGCATTTAGAAATCCTACAACACATGTATTTTGTCTTTTTTTCTATTTCCTGATTTCTTCTATATTGTAATTAGTTGCCAAGCCATTCTGTACTTCTGCCAGGTTTATTGCTGTTTGTTGTAGGTAGCCTTTGCTGCTTTTCAGGTCTTTGCTGTGCTCTGTGACTAGCTCTTGCTGTTCTGTGTAGATTTATATGTTTACCTGTCCCTGTCAATGCTGTTGTATGTGATAAGCACTTGCTGTTCTGTGCAGTTATGTGATTAGCCTCTGCTAGTCCTTGCAGATCTGTCATTTGCTGTGCTATGTGCTGTGTAATTGCTGTGCTCTTCTGTGCTTTTGTATATGGTTAGCTCTTGCCCATATGTGCTATTGTATGTAACTCTTGCTGTTCTGTGCTGTTGTATGTGATAAGCCCTTGCTGTTCTGTGCTGCTGTATATTATAAGCTGTTGCTGTTCTGTGCTGTTGTATGTGATAAGCTCTTGCTGTTCTGTGCAGTTCTATGTGATTAGCTAAGGTAGCTGATACCATGTGAGCCAGGCTACCAGCTCCAGAGCTGATCATATGGAAGGCACAAGCTGTTCTAATGCTGTTTGCTCTCCCTGTGCCTTCTTCTCTCAGAACAACACTCCTAATATGATCATGCAATTGAAGCTCCTAATGTGATCATGCTTGCTTTGTGACTCTTTGCCGAGTGGTAGATGAAGGCGGCTGCCTCAAAATTAAAGAAGCAGAAGAAGATCCCATATACTACACAGACTCTCATTTCTCTACATCTAACATAATTGGGATAGTTTGTTGTTTTCTTGTAAAACAATTGAAAACATTGTACCAACCAAAACTACAACCAATTACCCAACCTGCTATCCAGTCAAATGATAAATCAGCCAGTTTTATGAGTTATAGCCTTTTTTTTTTTTTAAAAACAGAAACCTTGCTGCTGTTGTTAACTATTTTCCATGAGTAATCCTTTTGTAACTCAGACAGAAGCTATTAAGGTGTTGTACCATATGTAGAATGATGGATTGTTAAAGTTTTGTACCACACATGTATGTAGAATGGTGGGGGAGATGGTTTCAGTCCTACAGCTACATGTAGGACATGTACAATGGATCTTCAGTGGCAATGACGTCATGGTCGTAGTCACACCTGTCCATTTGCACCAGTGAAGAGATAGATCTTCCTGCAGGCATGCAAGTCCAGATAACATGTTTGCACAACTCTTAGAACGGCCTGTGCTCAGCTCTTCTTTACTGTATGCACACCCACCATAGCTCTCACTTCAGCTGTCCTACCAAGATTCCTTCAAATTTTCCTTGCGTATTTTTTTTTTTGCGTTTTTATTTCCCATTTGATGGACACCGTTTTTCAAAATCTCGTTGCACCAACAGAGCTCAGACTACAATGACTTCAGCCGAAGAACTGGCCAGGACCTTAGTGAGGAAATGCTGACCGCTGCTATGGTACCCCACTGGCTTTGCTGCTCGCTTACCTAACCTCCTCTAGTTGGTTGTGCCGCTCCTCTCCTTAACCAGGCAGCGAGCCACTCTGTCTGGAAGACTTGGTTGTTGTTGTAGTCGTAGAATTTTGTCTCTTCCAGACTCGATTTGAAGTACTAACAAAGCTAGATGTGTTTTTCTCCTAATAACAATAATTTTGTTGTCAGTGACTCCCTATTTATTCAGTGGACTAGTCTGAGTGTAGGACACTTCGTGATATTGTAGGGTGACACTACTTTGTAATAGGGATGGCAGGGGTAACAAAAGCCAAAGAGCAGTTCAAAATGACACATTCAAAGATGTGTAATGCCCTTTTGTTCTTTCATACTTTATTTTGTAACTCACAGTTTCATTCATTAACAAACACCAGTATTGGACCTCTGAAATTTCACCTTTTTTTAATTAAAAACCTGACACCACATATACCTCCCATTTTGTTGTGCAGACTCACAGATACAATGTATGTACAAATGTATCTGCTCTGATGTATGTAGTACATGTATATGCTACTGATATATTTCAGTTTTACAGGTGTGTATGAAAAGCTAACTGTTTGACTCTTCCTATGATAATCTATTTTTTAATAATGTTTGAATTGGTACTAACCACTTCCTTCCATATCATTGGAAAATGTTGGAATTCCCATGGAATATGGGTTACTACCGACCCTAAAATTTTATAAATTTTGGCCAAAATCATGTTCAAATTGTGACATCTTACCAAAGATTTTTTGGGAAATGTCTTAAAAATATCATGGTTATAACTCGCCATTGTGGTAAACCAATGTAACCTTTTTTTTCTGAAATGTATGGATTAATTTACAATTTCTAGTATTGTCTGTCAGTGTTATCTTAAGAACATACTAGTATCAGTTGAGCAGGTTAGGGCCCCGTCACGTAACGTCATGCAATTATAGTCTACAAACTGAGGACATTCATGCATGTTCCCTGCAAAAGTCAGCTGTCTTGTTTAAAAACAGGCTGTCTTAAGATCCTTGTTGGTGGTTGGTTCTGTCACAGCCTGCTTGAAAATTCTACTGCACCAAAAACTGTACGACAACCTACGATGGATATGACCACACCATTAGTTGCAGTTGCCCATATAAAACTCAGCACATGCTCAGAGCTGTGTCTGTCTGCACTTTGCAGCTGATGTGCAAGATGGCGCCGCTGCTTGGGAAGGATATCACCGAGCGCCTGCTGCTGCAGCCTTTCCTGGACATGTGCACAGATGGACGCATGTTCCACATCCGGAAGGTCAGGATCACTTTTCTTATAATTCTACACTTTATGTTCCTTTTCACATATGATACTTGTACCTGTCAAACCTGTACAAGTGACAATCACATATTACCACTTGGCAAGTACAAGTTTTTACATAAGGATCACCTGGCCAATATGATCACTTTTTGTTTGATTTTTTCCCTTGACTCAAACATTTTAAAAGAATGCTGTCTTTAGTGACTAGCTTTCTACATTTTCGTCTGGTGAGTGGTCTTTTGAGGTAGTTTTCACTGTATCATTATAGTGGTCTTAGTTTACATTTATCTGAATGTTTGTACACACAGTGAATGTACATGTCTTACGTTTTCATCACATACTTAGCTCCTCATGGCAGGAAGGAGCAAGGAAGGTTTTTCACCTGTTGGTGTGTTGTTGGTTTTCCCTGCAGGTTTGTGCTGCCAACTTTGGTGAGATGTGTGGAGTGGTGGGAACAGAGCTGACAGAGAGATTATTGGTAAGCTGCACTTCCTTCAACAGTCAAAATGTCAAGGTTGTTCCCTGTAGGTCCTCTTCAGTGCTACAGTAGTATTGCTGTGCAGTTTTCTTGTAAACTGCTAGGTGTCACTCAATTGTGGCCCCTCTTTGTGAAAACTTATGTGGACCTCCACTTCAGCTTTTATTGATTTTGATTAGGCATTGAGCTAGATGATACATCAGACACATGACTATGCAAAAGATGGTGAATGTTTGTTTTGAAAGCCCAGCGAAAGAACCTGTTGCTGTAGAAGAACTTTGAAACAAAAATTTGAACGGTTTGACAATGTGAACCAGAGGAGAACCTAGTGGCAAACAGAGTTTCTTGTATGAAATAAGGACTAAGCTTTAACTTCCAACACTTAGATTACAGAATTGGGACTTACCCAAATTTTCGGGTTGACTCCATCAACCTTGTTCACGGAATGGACCCGTCTACTCTTGGAACGTGACGTCAGAGACACGTGACCGTAGTAGCGGGTCGTACATGCCAGATAACTTTGAACAAGGTTGATGGAGTCAACGGAAAATTTGGGTAAGTCCCAATTCTGTAATCTAAGTGTTGGAAGTTAAAGCTTAGTCTTTATTTCATAATGACTTGTACCAACACAGATGAACTTTCATGTAGAGTTTCTTGTGTTTCCTTGCAGCTGCCCAAGTTCTTCTTCCTGTGTGAGGACGGTGTGTGGGGGGTGAGGAAGGCGTGTGCCGAGTGTTTTATGCAGGTGTCCAGCGCCGTGACTCCGGAGGTGCGGAAGGAGAGCCTGGCGCCTTGCTTCGTCAACCTCATCACGGACCAGTCACGATGGGTGGGTGTGACGGCATGTCTGCCTCGGTGTATAACCTCATTATTTCACCACTCAATCATCCATTCAACATTACCGTTAGCAACTATACATCAAAACAGTGCTATGTAACGGAATGGAATAGAAAGTATTGTAATATGGTAATAAAATTAATGATAAAGTAGATTATACAATTTGCCCTCAATGTGGCAGAGATAGTCATTCTCAAATAGGACTGTTCAGCCATAGCCAAAACTGTAGGACTGTTAACAATTAGGATTTTACTATGGTCAATACTGATTGAAGGAGGCCATATCTAAACATTACACTGACTTACAAGTTAATATGACATTACTGATAATTTACTGAAACTTACCAGAGGTTTCAAGTTAACAATAGTGAAAGTACAATCAGCATGAGAGTAAACGTCAGCCTAGTTTCTCGACATCTGTCCACCATGTGTACCCGTCCTGTTTGTTTGTTTGTGTGACTTGGCGATGATGAGCTGACATTTTCAGGGCTCTGACCCACCTGTAGATGTGGATGTGGAGACAGCCGCGGTACTGAGCAATGGTTGCCCCCCTCCCCCCCGGCCCCGTGCCTGCGCTACCGTTGACTCTTACTTTTATGTTGCCGTTGGATCTCTCCACTTCACTTCACAAAATATCATGCTGGGATTGTCATTGTTTCTAGTGTAAAATGTTACCATGAAAAGGCCTTCTATTATTGTTTTTTTTTTTATAGAAATTTGATGTTTTATGGCAAATACATGTATCGATTTCGTTGATAACTTTTTAAAGTTATTTTACCCTCCTGGTTTAAGCACTTGGTCTAAAATAAAATTTTAAAGCCTTGTTATCAGTAATTGATAAATGTGTATGGATACAATACTACCTTGCTTTTAAGCTATATAATAGGAGGTTAATATATTTATTTTTTGGTAAAAACAATATAACTCAAAATGACATCAACATTTTAAACTGAAGTTTCTAATAGAATGGTTAAAAGAAAAACAGTTCCAGATGATCTCAGCATCTCTTCCATTACCTGCTTTTGTTGAGCTTCTTAGCTACTCAGTTGTTGTTTGTGCACCAGGGCTCGAAATACTGGATGCATGTGCACTTCCGAACATGCAAAATGGGAACTGTGTACCTAATTTTTTTACTGTTGGTGCACTAGATATTTGTGTATGGGTAGGCATGTAAAGGTGCTACTTGTATACTTAACTCTGGTATGAAGTATAATATACTTGATCTTGAAGGATCAGAAAAAACATAATGTTGTATTTCTTGTGTATACGTAAGCCATAGAAACATGTATTTCAGATTCAGTAAGAGAGGCAGTTAGGTTTGCAATTGGGTTTTAGTGACATTCTACTTTATCTTATGTTGTGCACCCAAAATGTTTCTATGCACCAGACTTTTGAGGTTAGGTACAGCCAGAGCATTGAATTTCGAGCCTTGATGTGTGGCATGAAGTTCTACCTGCATGGCTTCAATGTTGCACTGCAGCCAGCCCTATCCCAGTTAGAATACCGACACACAGCCTGAAAACTGAAGATAACAAAGTTGACTTGTACTCCTGACATCCAGGTGCGTATGGCAGCGTTCCAGGCCCTGGGTCCCTTCATCTCCACATTTGCTGACTCAGCCATGACTGGGCTGTTCCTGACAGACGATGGTTCAGTCAGGTTCATGCTCGACGTCGCTGATAACCAACAGAAGATCATTCTGGAACAGGAGACGCCATCAGAAAGGTTGGGAAATGTTTTATTGGCCTTGAAGGGGTTTAATTTTTGTCAGCAAGTTGCCTTGTGTTTTACTGTGTACATGTTTATTCCTATCACAGTTGTTACAAAACCTCTTATTTTGTATTGGTATTATAATGACGGAATGAATGAATCTTTATTGCGTATTCCTGACCGAATGGGCTAAATGCACATGTGATCATATGTGGTCTAGAGGATGTAAAGCATGTTTATGATACTGAAATGCTACATTTGCACGCTAAATACTAAAAGACTATGTATTGGCTCACGGTGACTTCTTAATTTTTTTTAGGGTTAAGCTAGCCAATATTTATATGTATGTCATACAAAATCCCACTTGAGTGAGAATGTAGTGTGTGGATCCTCAATATTTTGTGTTGCTGCCCTTTACAGCAGTTCGGACAGCGTAGATGGTAGGAATTTTGAACAGTCTGGAAACGGTGATGATGACAGCGGGCGCCTGTCGGAGAACTCTGACAGCGACCGTGACCTAGATAGCCCATCCTCCCCACCTGAAGCCACGCCCGTGGAACCCAACTCTACCCTTACACAGGAGGAAACGAGAAGAGATTCTAGTGATGATTCAAGGACTAGAGACGAGTCTGAAAAGGTTTCAGGTCCGGATGTGGAATCAGTTAGTAAAACCACCAGCCATAGTGAAAATGAGAGCGTAACAGCCTCCTCTGATACACAAGAAATGTCTGAGAGGAAAACCACAGAAAGCCTTCCCCCTTCTGCCACAAAAACACTGTCCCCTGATGAAGGAATATGCCTTGATGGCCACAACTGCACTGGCTCAACAACCAATGCTGCTAGTAAGGAGGATTCCAAGGAAGAAACAGGAGAATCTCAAGGAGAAGAAGAACAGCAAGATGCCGAGGCCTTCAATTCCTTTTTATACTGGCGCGCTCCCCTGCCAGATATAGAGTTGGACTTGGACTTGGTAGAACAGGGTAGTTTAGAGCCGGTAGACGCGCCGCGTGAACGGTGCTACGCCCTGGACGCGAGCCAGCTGCGTCGGGCGGGGGGTGACGAGGTGGAAACCGTTTGCCAGGCGGTCGCAGAGACACACCTGGAGCCGGCGAATCGCCAGACGTTCAGCGTCAGCACCCTGACAGGTGAAGGCATGTGTACTTTCCTTCCTAGTTGTCTGTAGATGCTAAGCTTCCTTTTTGTCATTGTGTGTGTTCATCTTCCTTTCACAACCCACATTGTCCTATAGAATAGCTTTTCACATTCATGTAACACAATGTATAACTACTACAACTATACATATACTTTAACTTGCTTGTAAGCAACACCTTCCTCAGAGCTTCTGGAGTACTGCTTCTTGCCGCTATATGTAGCCAATGTAGGTGGCGCTTTACCGGGTGTGTAAGAAGAAAAATACCTATGGCCTACGTTCTACCAACCTGATGAGATTATGTTGTAAAAAGTTCTGACAGCTAATCCATGTTGTGTTTGATTGACAGGGAGACAAGTAGAGGTGACTAACGTGGAGAGGCTGAGTACAGGTCCCAGCATGCCTCAGGTGGCCCAGGTCAGTGATGCCGCCCATGTTCTGGCTGGTCCCAGGACACAACAGGCTCCTACTGTACTCAACAACGCACAACAGGTAGGCTGACTTTCCACTTACATGTACAACAGTTCATGTGACAGTTTTCAGGGTTGGACAAGTTTTCAAAAGGGCATTTGCTTATGACCGAACAGTGCTTTTGCTATCCTTGATGGTCAGGGCTTGAAATACTGGGTGCTTGTGCACCTTAGTGCATCCAAATTTGGACCTGTGCACCCAATTTTTTCTGTGGGTGCACCAGTGCACCCAAATTTTTTCGTACAGTTCACCAGTGCACCTATCCCCAAAATGAATTTTGAGCCCTGATGGTTATTGCTTTTAAATGAAATATAGGATAAAATTCTTTCTGAACAAGAGAATTTGAAAGTTTAAGCTGTATGACTATCCAAGTACCTATTATCCCATCATGTACCTACATTTGGCAGTTGTGCTTCTCTGTTGCTATTGGTATGTGTGGCCTAATAGTGGCCTTTATACTCACCCCTGTTCCAGCGTGCGGTGTCCAGCCAGGAACTGACCCCTCCTCCCAGCCCGTCGTCCAGCCCGGCCACCAGCCCCACCAGCCCACACCACCTGTCCGCTCACCTGGACAACCTGAGGAAACAGGTCAGGATGGTTACCATGGTTACATGTAGTTTCAAGACTTTTAGACCAGCAGATTATGAAGTACCGCGAAAAGATCAGGATTAAAGTAATAGATCAAGTGTAAAAAGAAGCATTCATTTTCAGACTTTAGTGTCCAACAGATGCAGTAACAGAGAAAGTGTTGTCTCCCCTACAGGATGTAATCCCCCAGCCCCTGTTGGATCACTACCTGTCGATGACGGACCCGTCCCGGGCGCAGACCGTGGACCAGGAGATCGCCCGCCACTGCGCGTACAGTCTACCGAGCGTGGCCTTCACGCTGGGCCGCGACAACTGGCACTGTCTGCGGGACACGTACGAAACACTGGCCAATGACATGCAAGTGAGTACAGTGAGTATGCCGCTTGATCTGATTCTGTGAATGTTGACGTCAGTAGTGCAGCAGGGGCTGAAAGAGTCACCTTTGCATGGAGGAACCTCGCCCAGAAAATAACCAGGGTAAACCCTACCTCATCTTGACTTGCCGCCTCTTGTTTTAAAACCTCAACCTCAGCATGCTTGCACCATCTAACATGCTCAAACACGTCAGTCATCATATGCATGGATATATGATGGAGAATGACTAACAACAACAAAGAGATGACCCTGTTTTGTTCTTTTGTCTAGTCAGTCTTTTTGCTGCAAGTGTATGCGTGTTGGGATGTGTATGATTGAACAATTTTCAGTTGTTAACATTGGCATCTTTTCCTCATACTAAACTTCCATATTTCTGATTTCCAATGTAAAATGCACCCTTGAGTAGTGTACTTTTATTACTGTTACAAACTACATTTGTGAAGAAAGTCTAATAAAACTTGAGTCAGAACTGCCAAAGTACCTTCTTTGTTTAAGAATACATTTTATCTGTGTGGCAGTTATCCCACTCATTTTCAGCTTTCTGTCCCCCCTCTCTGAAGCCTTCCCCATCCTGGTTCATTTCCATTGACAACACCTGCCTAACACTGCCCACTTTTCCGTCCCCCTCTAGTGGAAGGTGCGCAGGACCCTGGCCTTCTCTATCCATGAGCTGGCGATCATCCTCGGTGCTCAGCTGACTGACCAGGACCTCATCCCCGTCTTCGATGGCTTCTTAAAGGACTTGGATGAAGTTCGTATCGGCGTCTTGAAACACCTGGCTGATTTTCTAAGGGTGAGTTCATAATCTTGTATCTGTGCTTCAAAAAGAAGTGATTTGCTTTTAAATGGCGTGGTCTTGGAAAAAAAAATGTTATATTTCCTGTTTCAGTTCTGAAAAAGTCTCTGGTGATCCAACTTATACAATACCGTTTTACAAAGTAGAACTTGCATGAGGACACTTCTATTTTGTCAATGTTGGAAAAAAAATTGTACATCATTTCGTTTTTTCCTTAGGCCTTAGTACTTATTAGAAAGATAGTAAAGCTGATGATATTGTGTTGTTACAGAGACTACTCCCAGAGAGGAGGAGGGAGTACTTGGCACGGTTGATTGAGTTTCTGAACACAGACAACCACCGCAACTGGAGGTTCAGATACGAACTGGCAGAGTGAGTAGAAAACACAACATGTCCAACTTGAGCTGAGCTTCATAGAAGTCCAGATCTTTATTTCTCAAAAGTGATGTCCCACTTCTTGAGTTGTGTTCTAGCCAGCCTGACATTTTTTCCATCATCTCAATTTTGTTTGGCATAATAGCATGTCGAGTGCAAATGTAACAATCCTAGGGGGGTCAGGGCATGCTGTACTGTGAAATCTTACCTTCTGAAATGCTATTTCCTGCATATTGAGGGGCAAATGTTGCTGGTAGAAGCTTAGTTGAATGACATCTTTTATTCTTCTCTTTACACACTGAGTTTTGTCTGTCAACATTGACGGATTTGCCAAATTTTGTCCGCCAAGACCAGCAAAATCCCATCAATTGACAGAAAAACAGACACTGGCCAGAACACTGGAGTAATACATTGTCACATTCTAACAATACGTTGTTTCCTTCAGACAAATGATGCAGCTGGGTGACCTGTTCCCTGCCTCGGAGCTGGCAGAACACGTGTGTCCGGTCGCCCTGTCCCTCGCAGGAGACAAGGTGTCAGATGTCAGGCTCATCGCTTACAAACTGGTAAGTGACTTTAAGAAATAACTCAGCTGTCACAGTACCAACAGCTGGCACAAAGAGACTCAGTAACTCATTCCTTTATCAGGCCTTTCTTCTGAACAACAAGCAGCCTGTTTAGAGTTGAAAACAGCTAGGTGGAATGGTTCAAGTTACATACATGTATCTCGCTTAACTCTAGACATAAACATATCTCTTAACAGAATTTTAATCATCACCCCTAAACACCTGTTGTGTGCACCTGTTTACCCACCTGTTGTTCCCACCTGTCCAGGTGGCAGTGCTGACGAAGCAGCTGCAGGAGGACCATGATGACGCCCTGGTGTTCCACTTCCTGACGGACCTCATCACTAACTATGCACAGAGCCGCCGATGGCAGCGCAGACAGACGTAAGTACTCATCATCAACAACTACAAACTCCATCAAACTGCCAAAAATGATGTCTCACCACCAGAACACTTCACAGGATGGTTGTTACATGAAGAGTATAAAGAGATTTGGATCCTCTGGATTATTTTGAAAGGATTTTTTTTGCCATTTGGAATACAAAGTCAAATGGCTGTGCTGAAGATGTCCTGTTGTGTCCCCCAGGTTTGCCTTCCTGTGTGCAGTGTTGTTAGAAGATGAGTCCATCCGTCCCTCACTCTTCGCTCACCACCTGCTGCCCAGTCTGCTCACCTTGACCTCTGACCCGGTGCCAAACGTCAGGATAGTCCTGGGCAAGACCCTGTCCCAGGCCGTACTCCCCAGAGGTCAGTGTCAAAACAGCATCATTTTTAAGATGGGGTCTTTGCAATGGCACTTACCTTCACTGAAGAAGTACTGTTCTTTCTTTTGTAGTGGATGTCAGTAGTACAGCATTGTACGAGTACTGTAAGTACTCTATGTTCATGGTAGGAAATGTTCACAGTCTGAGAAAAATTGTGTTCACGGATCTATATTTACGGATCTATGTTTACAGTGGCGTACAGTATGAGAAGAGTTTCTTTTAGATCCACTCACTTAAAATTACATATCTATTAACATTTGCCATTGTTTGTCCTCCCTTGTTTCCAGACTATTTCTCCAGTGAACAGAACCCAGAACACGAGACCCTGCTGCATGCCATAGAAATCCTGAAGATGGACTCGGACAGGGACGTCCGCTTCTACGCCAGTCTTCCCCCCAATCCTCGCACCAACTCCCCAGATGTGGTGAGGAAAACTTCTTAACTTTGCTGGAACTTATAATCATCTAGGAATTGTTATATTGGTTGTTGCAGATGCTTAAAAAAAACTTGAAAGAAAAAATAACAGATTTCTTGTAGTTACTGGTGCTGAACAGATGTTACTCAAGAAACCATTGCACATAGACTTTTGCTTAATCATACTTTGTTCTTGCTCCAATCAAAGGACCTTGTATGATGGTGACTGGGGAAGGCGGAAACGGTGCTCCCATCACCATGGAAACAGGGAACGCTGCGACTTCTATCGTCCCACCCATGCCACAGTCTTTCCAGGGAACACGTCGTCCAACCCGTAGCAAACGTGCAATGGTCGTCTATGAGATAAAGCTGCCAAGTCATGTATTACCGGTACAATAAGACAGGATACAGAACTTTGGCCTGTGTTCTTTCACCCATCCTGTTCTTTTGAGATTAGATATATGTCTGTCTGCATTCCTATGTTACATCAGATGTGAAATGGGACCATTGTGCTTTTTAGATGCAGGCTACAAGATAACAAACATTAAAAGGAGAATTTTACCCATAACTGTACACCCTTGTTTATCCAGCTTTGAAACTCTCACTATGGTGTATCCACAACAGGGGGCCAAGTATACTTCAAGTCATTTATGTCTGGCTTATCACAATTTCTGTGTCCTTATATTACAGTAATTAATTTTGTTGTATGTGTATCAATTTGTGAGATTTACATTGTTTTGCTTCCACCTATTGCCATACTATAGTGGTGCTTTACGTTCATATATCCACGCATTTCTGCACATGATGAAATTGCCTCCCACAAGCATCTGAAAACACTGATTCTGTTATTCTGTACAAGTAAATGAAATGGCATTGATAGGAAATTTAAAGCAGGACTGGTTGTGATTTAAGACTTTTGAATCATTTCCATGTGCCCATGATACATGTGTAATTGTTGGAAGTTTGCCATGATTTTATCAGTATCTTTAGTCCTCTGTTGTAGCTGTGTTGCCCTTGGGTCTTGGTCTACCTCAGCTCGATACGGACTGAACTATAAACCAACACAGTAATAAAACAGTTTCAGGGTTTCTAGATATTTGTGCCAAGGGAACCTTTCCTTGTTTTTAAACCTCATGTTATAGTTTTGTATTACATCGAACATTTAAGTATACACACGACTCATCATATTTCATCAGTATCTGTAGGTATTTATAGATATACTTGCCACATTTTTTAAAATTCCCAGTAATGTTTATCACTTGTTCTTTATGGTATACACCCAGATCTAGAGTCGGAAACTTCTTTGCTTGTGTTGGCCAATTCAATTCATGAATTAAATGTTTAAGTGTAACACATTTGAAATGGAGCCTTGGATCTTGAAGTATTTCAATTTCAGCAATTCAAGTTCAGAACAAAGTTTTGATTTTTTACACTTCAACTGTATGATTATCTGACAGAATGTTATTCCCTTCACAAACAGTGACTAATTCAAACATGAAGGTGGTGACATTCATAGATTGACATGACCTGGCCAAAGGAAGTTTTTTACACATAGCTGTACAATCAAAAGAATGTTAGACTAACTGATTCTGTGCACTTGTTAAGTAGTTATCTGGCTGCAGTACATAGTTAGGAAACATTCACTGATAAGTACCTTAACTTTGTATAGTATAAGATTTTTAGACTTATTGCAATGGAAACATTGGATGGAAGTGTTGGATCTGTACATTTTGCATCCTACATTGTTGTGCAAAAATTGTGTAAAGAAGGGTGCAAATTTGCTTGTATAGACCTTTTACATGTGTAATTAGATAACAATCAATGCAGGGATACTGACCCCTTTATCAGGGGTCCACAAGTCTTTCTCTCAGACTTTTCTAGGTGATTATTGTAAGCAAATAAAGACTACATTGAATTATGGTAACAATGATGCCGTTTCCCGTGATTTTTTTTGCTGTTCTTGTCACTTTTTGAAGATATAGAAAAATGCAGACCCGTCTCAGAGATAGTCTGGGTGCCATCCTTGCTGACCCAGACTGTATCAAAGATTCACAAGAAACGTAAAAGAGAAAGAAACCATAAAAGAGAAAGAAACCAAAGTACATGCACATGTATACACAGCTGTGTATACCAGACATACTGTACTATAGCTCGTTCTCAAGTCTGGAGAAATAACATTAACACACATACAATTCAATGACCTAGAAAGTTTGCAGCTGGGCATCATCTGTTTTCTACTGTTTGCAGTAAATTAAGAAGTCTAACAAATCATGATAAGCCTCTTCATGTGGAGATTTTTATTATGATTCACAACACGGGGTACAATGTACATCAATAGACCATAAGAAAACATCGAAACATGCACCTTTATCTACAGCAGCCTTGGTTTAATTGTTTGTATAGCACAAGTTACCATGGCAACACCAATTATCTACCAATCAGTACAATGTACGTCCATCAACCATCCTCTTCCTCCTCATCATCTCCAAAAGATAACAAACTAGAATTTTTCACTTTCTTCATTTTACTCTTTTTGTCAGGTTTGTCGTCTTTCCTCTTCTTTGTTGATGTGCTGGCATTTAAGTCTGTCTTCTCCTCGGCTGATCTCTTTACTGGCTTCTTGAATGTGATTCTCCCTTCTGCTATTGCTGTTTCTATGAAGATATAAAAAGTGCAAGAAATGTATTATTAATTGGTCTACACTTGTGTACATGTACTTAGCAAAACTCACAAATTACACAAGATCTATTTATTATAAAAACATAAGCAACAAGAAGTTACAATGATGCAAACCAAGTTTCAACTCAGACATCTGCCAGGGTTTTATCTCACCTTCATCCTTCTTTTCCTTTTCCTCCTCCCATCTGTCAGCCTCCTCCTGAGTGAGATCTCCTTTCCTCAAGACCACAACTGTTGGCTTCTCATCGTCTCTGTCATCCCTTGCCTCTTCCTCCTCTTCTTCTGGTGGTTTCTCTTCTGCTCTCTAATAACAAGATAGCGTTGCATTAGCTGAACCAAGGAGCTTCAAATTGAAAAGCAAGTTACACAGAGATACATGTAGTAACAAATATTTACAAGTTATGGGGGAGGGGGGTTACACACTTTTGTGTTGATGTCTGGCCCCTCCTTGTATCCTACGCGTTCCTTGAACTGTTTTATGAAGCTCGGTTCCGAGGGTTTGGAAAATGACACCCCGTGGCGTCCGCGTCCAGCCATGGCTTCCTAAAAGCTGCAAAATAGCCGAGAAACAACGAGAATCTTGCAGAAACCTGGAAAGAAGCTACATTTGGGTCAGAGGTCAGAGATATCACGTGACATGATTTCAAATTTCAATTCAGCCAATCATAGCGAAGGATTTAATCACGTGAGGGGCAAAGTAGGCAACCCGCCATTGTTCAAGTTTTCTTGCTACGTGTGGAGAGCGTATTTTGGTAGTCTCTAACGTTGTTTTAGTCTTTGATTTTATGTTTTGTCTGGACTACAGTTCAAGCAAGGTTACTTTCAAGTGTTGGTGTGCAGTAGAAGGCGTATAAGGAGCGAATTATGGCGCCGACAACAGGTAAGAACGAACAAAAATGCACGGATCTTGGCTCGTTAGTGCTACTGCTGGGAAGGATCCTGTGGAAAATCATGGTTAATTTGGGGCATAAAAATACCCTTTTTGTGCTTTTTGAGGCGACATGACATTCTCCCAGTCTACATATTTCGTGGTGTGTATTAAAGTTCTTGTTGCAAGCAAATGTGCAAAATGTGCAAATCGTACGTGCAATATGGAGTAAAGTCATTTTTCTGCAAACTGACAGATGATGTCAGTTGAAAAACATAATATTTTTGTAGAAAGAGCGACAAAGACTATTTGCAAGAGAATGATTCATGTACTGTAGTATACAATACCTTTCATACCATGATATTTCTGACATAGCTAACCTGTTTTATTTTCCTTCACAGATAGCAAGGCAGGAGTGACAAGGTAGTATGATATTCTCAACCCTGTTTTTTAACTTGCCATATTGCAAGACTTTGAAGTTTTTATATATTTTTCTACAATATCAAAATGTTTCAAAGTTACAAGTCATGTGGGTATTTCACACCTCACTTTTGGTGTAGTTTGCAGAAGGCCAGAAAGCCGTCTGGCCAGCATTTTATCATAATTCTCTTCAGCCGTGACGATGCAGGAAGCCGCTTTTACTAAGTTTTTACTTTTATGAATTTCTATGCACTATGGACTTTGTACATAGAAATTCATAAAAGGTGCTTCCTGAGTTGCCACCGCTATCATTTCTTGTACATGTACTTACCTGTGTGATTTCAACCTTTCAGTACTGAAGAAGACTCGATCAAGGTGTATGTCCGTGTTCGGCCGCCAGATGAAGCGGAGGACAGTTACGAGCAGAGCATGTGCCTGGCGGTGCAGGCCCCTAATGTCATTGTGATGGACTGTAAGCCTGACCCCAGGAGATACACGTTTGACCATGTGGCTGACATCAATACAACACAGGTCAGGGAATTCAAAAAAAAGAGGCTATTGCGATTGAAGGATCCATTTTATGATCATATTTGCTTGAAACAGAAAAAAAACTCAGTGTCATACATGTACACACACATAAACACATGTACACTCATGTGCACCTACACACACACATTCATGCAAACACACATACACACTTGTAGTTGTAGTTGTAGCAAGGAGGCTTTAAAAATTGTTCAAAATACATGTATACCTGTGAAAGATTCCGATATCCAGTAGTACTAGTAGTACATGTACCTTTGTAACTGATGTCTGACATGACTTTTTTTCTTTGTTCAAACCAGGAAGCAGTGTTTGGTGCAGTGGGAAGGAAAATAATCGAAAGCTGTGTTGGTGGCTACAATGGAACAATATTTGCGTAGTAAGCAGGGTTTTTCTGAAAATATAATGGTCATAATTCCTATGTCTATATGTTTACAGAGATGTATGTATCAAAACCCAACAAAGATGTCCAACTCCAAGTAAAACTTAGTCAAGTGCTTGATTATTCTCCCATGGAGTAAGACTCTTGTACATGTTTCAATATTCTGTAAGCTTTATAGTCAACTAGATAGTATTATATTACTCAATACAATTTTTGACTACTCACAATGAAGTTGTAAGACACATATTCTCTATAACTATAACTTGTCATCTTTTCAGTGGCCAGACAGGATCAGGAAAGACTTTCACCATGTTGGGTATGTCTACATTTTCACGCCTATAATATAGTATAAAGCTGCATGTTACTTTTTCCAGTACCCCTCCATATATAGCAAATTTTCTGCTTTTCTTTAGCTGCCTTTGCCTAGTAATAGTAGATCTTTTGAGAGTAGATACAATGTTAAAAGTTTGCCCAGAATACTGAGAGAAGTTTTGCTGATTTTCCTGTAATTCTAGGCCCACTGGAGGATGGTGATGATTTCCGGCATGAGTTACGTGGTGTGATTCCTCGCAGCTTTGAGTATCTCTTCAACTTGATAAGCAGGGAGCAAGAAAAGGTCAGCTATTGTTCTGTTGTATTGTAAGTTAGTATATTAGTTAGCAAAGTCTCAAGAGCTAACCAGTATGTCTTCATTGTGTATGAGAAATAATCAGCTTTTTTCTTGATAGATGAATCAAGAGAGTTTTTCAATGTCTGTCCACAGCGTGGAGATGCTGTGGAGTTTGTGACAAGATGTTCGTTCCTGGAGATCTACAACGAGCAGATTTTTGACCTGCTGGACACGGCGTCCACTGGTCTGCACCTGCGAGAGAACATCAAGAAGGGAGTGTTTGTGGACGGACTGATTGAGCAGAATGTCACCAGTGCAGTAGAGGCCCATCAGGTAAAGACAAAGGATACTGACTATTCAAAAACCTGGGGAATGCTTATCTATACTTGAGCATTTTGACCTCATTTTGAGTCTATACTCAAGTGCATTTCATTTCTATTATGCCAATATGGTTCAATTTTATTTTTGTTATTGGTCTCCAACAGTAGGTATACACATGTATTATTCCAGGTGCTGTCTGCAGGATGGGTGAATCGCAGAGTTGCCTCCACTTCCATGAACAGGGAGTCATCTAGGAGCCATGCTGTCTTCACTCTCACTATAGAGTCCAAGGTATTGTCAGTCTTTCTTCTTCTGTTTATCTCTTAATCTTCAGCTATTTCTCACCAAAGTCCTTTCCTGTCATGTCAAGGTTCTACGTTCTACAAATACCTCCTTATAAAGCTCTCCGTGTTTGTCATAATTGCAGGAGAAGAAAGGCGGAGTGATGAACATCCGGTGTTCCCAGCTGAACCTGGTGGATCTGGCCGGGAGTGAGAGACAGAAGGACACACATACTGCAGGAGTCCGGCTCAAGGTGTGTGAGGAGGAGATTTGCCTGGTTAAATCATGCCTCTTGTAGCTTGAGTTCTCAGTCAAATGAAAGGGAAGTTTAGTTTACATTATGGGAGTCCATGGTTCCTATGTGTGCATTCTGAATAGGAGCAATCGCTGTTTTTCTTTACATCATATACAGGCAAATTATTTAAAGACATCTATAATTATCATTAGGCAAATCACCCAACTGTCACCTGCATTTTGCCTATTGATCTCTCACACTTAATGTGAGCTTTGGTTTGAAAATATTGCAGTTAATTTTTCCGTATCTTTGACTTTGTGTGATCTTTGATGATCTACAGGAAGCTGGCAGTATCAACAAGTCCCTCAGTGCTCTGGGGAATGTGATCATGGCCTTAGTAGACATCGCCCATGGGAAGACTCGTCATGTCCCATACAGGGACTCCAAACTCTCCTTCCTTCTCAGGGTAGGTAGCGTACTTCTTTGGTACCTGTGTTTTGCTAGCACATACATGTGTACATGTATATATGTGAGAAAAAATTGTGTCCAATTTTTAAAAATATATGTGCATAGATTTAGATAAGTTTCTATCATATCATAGTTCTAGATATCTGAAAATCACAAGTTTCATGGTCTGATCATGATTTTGCTTACAGGATTCTCTAGGAGGCAATGCAAAAACCTACATCATTGCCAACGTCCATCCAGGCTCCAAGTAAGTTATTTATCAATGTTTGTCTTGTTGTTATTTATTAATGTTGAACATGACTGTGATATTCAAACTTCACTGGTCTTGATTTGAAGTTATCTTGAGTTTTGCGTGGCTTTACTCTTGCGTGGAGATGAAAATGGTGATGGGCTCCCCAGGTCCAGTACGGCAAAGATTGGCCTGTGGTCAATGATCTTGTTGGACGCTGTCTTACATGCCTCTGCTCTGGCCCTGTCTCTGTCCTGGGTTGTGTACACACTACCAGTGTCATAATTTAACGATAATTGCTGAGCATGTAGGACATTAATTAAGTCAGAGGTGAATATGAAGTAGTCGATTGTTTCTGATCCATATGAGGCAGCGACAGTCAGTCCAGGAAAACTGTCCATATTCCCATGTGCCTTGTCAATACTGAAGTTGAAGTCTCCACCAATGATACATGCAGTCTGGCCGTTCCTCCCTTCTGCAAGTGTCTGAACAAAGTTGAGGAGATCTCGGAATATCAGCTGCTTTTCTGCATCAATACACTTGTGTGGTCCATGCCAGGAGATAGCTATAAAGTCTGACACATTTGCCGTCCTCTCTAATGCAATGTTGCTACTTGCTGTATGCTGTTCAGGCACAGGTTTAGGTGTGAACTTACAAATGCATGTTCGTCCGCGGTGCTGCATCAGATTTGGGTACTTGTCTCCAATTATCCTGTACGAGTCTAAGCGTTCCACGTCAAACAACTCACTATCCCAGAGAATCCCTGCTTCATTGACGACTCCTTTGTAGGAAAACTTCTTCCCGAGTTGAAGCTGTGTTGTGGCATCTGCCCATGGACACTCTTGCACGAAAACAATAGAAACGTGTGTCTGTCCCTGAAGCTGACTGAGAAGAAGCTTACGCAAATTTGCATTCCCGGCGCCCTTTGTGTCTCCCTTGAAGTTGACAGAAGCGATGCCGTACCTGTAGGGATGCCGGCCATGTTCTGTGATGGAAGTTTGCATCAGTGCCTCGTTCAGTTCTCGCACAACATCCTCGCTGCTCTCACCTGCCTTCTTCTTGCTGCCTTTAGTAGCCTTTGGGACAAGAACCTTAGGCAAAACATGTTCTGCCTGGTATGCTGGGTTTGGTTGCAGGGCCATTTTTGATAGTTTAACTTCAAGGTATGTTCATTGGCTTCAGAAGTATCTTCTGGCTTTCTGGAGTTGTTTCCCATCTGTAAACAACAGAAACAGAGGAAGTTAACATAATCTTGTTTACAACTTTAGTCAATCTCCTTCCTTCCTGCCACTGGCTCGTCCGTGCATATAGACTGGACTGCCTTTTCCACCAACCCGGTGCATATAATGACAAGTGAAGTCAATTATAGTTGTCCCAAGGAATTAGCTTTCTAGTCTGTTATTACAGACTGAGGTAAACATACTGAAAACAAATTTATCTGTGCTGAAAGTGAAAAATAAGTAAGTTAGATCCAAACACTTCTGTACAATAAACAAGTATAACATGCGTATACATACCTGCTTGAATGTCTTCGAATTCAGTTCCAAATTTGCCTTCAGGCACAGTGGTCATGGGACCATGACACAGATCACTATAATTAGTACCTACAGTACAATGGTGGTTACCAGTGAACACCTTACCCTTTTCTGTAATACCTGAGATTCAGGCTATTAGCCACTGACATGTACAAGTTGTGGCTTGTCTTGGGAAATGACCTGCTGCACATATACTTTCCGATCAATACAATAGCTGCAGATATTGTCACGCCACTGTATGTAAATAGACCTATTGTGTTTAGCGTCACCTGGTGTCAGGTTACTGTCACTTACTGTAAACAATGGCTCAGGAGTAAATAGAACAAGGTTCGCACCAGTCATGTGACTGACTGTTTGACAAACAGAACTGAGCAATATAATAAACAAAATGGCTGCTGTTATCAGAAGCAATATTTATTCGCAGTTATTATAATTAGATTCTGGGTTGCAGTAGAAATGCACAAGCAAGCACAATGAAAGCAGTATAAAGGTCACAGGTCAATCTAATGTTCTGCCCTAATGCTTTGAAGTAGTCATGGCTGAGAAATGGATCTAGTACCTGAATATTGTGTCAGAATTACACTCTGGCCCATGACCCTTCCTAGTTTTTGACTCAGGCTGACTAAATTTGAATCGATATCTTGACACAAAATATTAGACCTGCCACACTACCAGGTTGAGCCATACAGACAGAGATTATGTATTACTGTTGTAAATTGTTTTTGAGGTAAAATCTAATCCAGGAAGCAATTTGTCTAATTACTTGGACTCCCTGGGAGAGTCTAGCTGCTGGAATATAATGCCATACAAATTACAATGTCATGTGTATAACGGCCCATACTATACAGCTGCGTACTCCTATATGTTGGCTCTAGTATTGGGATGTTTTTTTAGACTTGACTGTTGAGTTGTAATAAAAAAACTCTTTGAAGACTTGTACATTTCTTCTTTATAGACCTCTTTTACGACTTACTTCTCTCCAACTTTGTCCAAACCAACCAATATGATACCTTATGAGTGTAAGATGTACAGTTGTAAAAGTCTCAGCCAAAAGTCTCAGTTTCAGGTGTTGACTGTACTTCTTTAGATTATACTACTTAGCACCACTCCCCTTGTAGTATAGTGTTAAGTTTTGATACTGTATTTTCAGGTGTTTTGGAGAAACCTTGTCGACTCTGAACTTTGCTCGTCGGGCAAAGATGATCAAGAACAAGGCAGTTGTAAATGAAGACCTGCACGGTAATGTCTCCCAGCTACAAGCTGAGATCAAGAAACTTAAAGAAGAGCTGGCAGACTACAAGGCGGGGGGTGTACCACAACATTTAGGGGGATCAGGTAAATGAGTTTATATTTGCAAAAAAACAAAGCACTTTTCAGATGCTTGAAGCCAGAAAGGTTTACATATTTAGTACAAATGTACTATTCCGTATATTTACTGACAAATTCCTCTGATGCATTTCATGTTTATTCTCATTGTATTGAGCTCAAGGGGATGGTGGTGCTGTGGACAGCAAGTACAAGAAATGGTTCTGTGATGCGATGTTCCTTAGAAACAAGGCTGAAGAAGAACAGAAGGTAAATAATGCAGTTTGAACTTGTCCTTACAGTTACATGGCATGAAAGTTCATCAAGGATGGTAAATTATATATGATTACGTATTGAAACTGTTCTCCAACTCACAAGATCTTGATTCACCACTTAATTTTTGACCTTATTTCTGGGTCTTTATCAGCCATATGACCCAAGAGCTTCAGACGTGATTAGGTCAAAGTTTGTCAGGACTGGGTCAAAGTTCATTAGAAGTCTGTATCGACCCCCGTCCTGGCCAAGGGAAGGATGGCTCCCACAAAATACATGTAGTCACTACTTATGTATTGCAGGCAAAGGAAGACAAGATCCATCAGCTTGAAGACCTGTGTAAGAAGAAGGAGAAGTTTGTCCAGTCCAGTAAGATGATCATCAAGCTGCGAGAAAGCCACATCAGCTGTCTGGAGAAGGGCGGGGCAGGAGCTCTGGGAGACACTGAGAAGGACCAGATCATCAGAGACCTTCGGCAGGAGGTGGGCAGGGTTCTCTCTTCAGAAGTCCAGCAACAGATTTTGGCAATGCCTCAGGGGCAGATCCTTTTAGTTGTCCAAAGCACTGGTTACAGAGCGAGAAAGTTTGAGTCAATTCAGGGGTGTGTGCATATCTTAATCCATCTTGAAACCAATGCCTGTGAAATGTAATTTTTTTAAGTAACACTAGACAGTAAGGTTTTAATTTATATATGATAGAAAACTATTTTATGAGCTATAACTTGTTCATTCCCCCTGTTTGTTAACTCCAATGCTGCCTTCTCAGATCGAGCTTCTGAAAGATCAGGTGAACCATCACCCTGAGGTGACCCGTCTGGCCATGGAGAACCACGGGCTGAGGAAGAAGCTGAAGGAGCTGCGCACCCCGGAGTACCTGAGTAACAAGGCCTACAGCGCACAGCAGGTCATGGAGCTGGAGAACAGCTTCAAGGAACTCATGGCAAAGGACGATGGTCAGTGTTAGAAAAAAATCTGCAACTTTGTTTATCATGTTGAAGGCATCCAGTGTAATTTCAAGGTGGCAAAACTGGATTTAAAATCAATCAAACTATTCCTTATGCTTGTTGGGGCTATTTCAAATGCTTCAAGTATGAAATGGTGACGGAAATGTGTTAAGAAATGGCAGTAATTATTGTCAATGATAGACAGATTTCCTCATCCAAAATATCTTTGTCTTGTTGTCCTGAAATTGCTTTGGATGCACTGTTACAGATATGATATGTGTGTTGTTTTTTTAGTCCATTATACATTGATCCTTTGGGAAGTAGTAAAGAATGTGAATGTGGGAATCTTGTTTTTCAGGAGGTGCCCCTGCAGTGGACCGCAGAACCAGCCTGACTGCTGCAGGCACTCCGCTTGCTGCGGACACCGTTTCCGCGGCAACTGTGGAGAAACTGAAGTCAAAGGTGCAGAAACTGCAGGAGGAGTTGGATATGGTAAGAGTTGGTGCTCACTGTAAACTGTTTTAAGTTTGCTTTTTAAATTTTGTTGTACTTGGAAAAAGGAGGAGTTTGCAATATAAAGTTGAAAGAAGACATTTACAGTATTCCATGGTTTCTGTTGAACAACTGTAATTCACTGTAGGTTCACAGTAGTAAAAGTTTGCAGTCTCAGAAAAATGGACATGTTCGCAGAACTATATGTTTGCAGTGGCGGCAGGTGCAGCTAAAAGAAAGTTGGCAAAATATTTGGCCACGGAAAAATTGTGAATCAAAGAATGATGAAGGAAAATTTCAAGAACAATTTCTTTCTTCTTTTGTTTTCTTTTTGTAGACTAAGGAGAACCTTCATCAGATGGAAGGGTCCTGGGAGAAACAGAAGCTGGAGTTGGAGTCTGAGCTGGCCTCCTACAAGACGTCTACCCAGGAGCTGGAGAAGGTTCTGGAGGCCTGTCAGGTCCGCAACAGGATCAACAGGACCACCTTGAACGACATTCACATGGAAACCATCAAGGTCAGTCAGGGTTTCAAGGTCATATCACTTTCTGTTATGTTCCATGTTCTGGGTGACTACAGATTTCTCATCATTAATATTTTGTCATTGATATTTTTGTGCCTTTGTGCACTTCATTTTTGGAATAGCATAATGTATCTAGCTTTTAACACTTTTGCTTCTTCTTATAGTTTCTATACCAGCAACCTCTGTGATTAACCAATGGAATTTAATGAAAAATGATACCAGTATTTCAATGTACGTTGTATGCTAATGTTTTTATTTGTTTTGGAGCCACCAGAATCATTTAACTTGACCTCTAATATTGCGTATCCTGTCCACCCCTCAGAACCTGACTCCCAGTAAGAAGGCCCTGTACCACCTCAGGAACAGGGTTGTCCAGCAGCCTATTCCATTTGACCTGGAGGGGGAGACAGGTGAGGAAAAAAGCGAGGACATTGACAGCGTGCTCCCTCCGCCGGAAATGATTCAGCAGTGTGCCGAGGCTCTACATGACGAGATCAGGCAATTACAGGTCAGTATCACACCATTTTTTAAAAATGTTGTTTGATTATGAATTTTGATATCTTGTACTGTTAACATTTCTGTTGAGGAAAAAAATTACAATAATTATTTGATTTCACATTAATTTTTTTTAAATCTCTGATCTGGGACTGCCAGTAGAAGTTTCCTTCATTTTGTGTTTGTTCGTATTCAGGATGTGAACAACAGCCTGACTCGTGATCTGGAGAACCGCGAAACAGAACTCCTGAAGTTGAAGCAGTGCAGTGCCAAGTATGAACACCAGGTGGAGCAACTAAACCAGGTCTGTATCTAAGCTACCTAATCAAAGTTACAGCAGCAATTTAATGAAATAAAGGTCAGAGGAAAAAATACTAGTAGATGACTCAAAAGGAGTTCTTAAACCATAATTACTTGGTTCCATACATAAGATTTTTGGTGTACATAATTTGTTATTAGGAGACATGGTTAATGAAAACAAATTTTACTCTTTAGCGTCTATCAACCAAGGAGACCAAACTGTCTCAACTAACGACTGAGGAGGCAAAACTCCAAGAGCAGTTCAAGGAGCTAACAGACAATAACTCAGGTAGGTTTCACTGATACTTGGGGTTTTATGGGATCTCTATATTTGATATTTTCTGATGGCCTGTCACTCCTGTCAGCGCGGGGTTCTTGTGACAGTCATAGTACCTGCTAAGGAGATTTTAATTTTTATGACATTTTGACATGAGAAAAATTGTCTTGCAAACAGCATACAGTGAATTTAGAGTTATTTCCCCTCCTGTTCTTGATGCAGTGCTGACTGATGAGGTATCAGACCTCCGTGTGGTGCTGTCGTCAGCTGACCGTGAACTCAGCGACTCCAAGCAGAAAATGGAGGAACTGCAGGCCAAGTACAACTCTCAGTTGGCAGAGTTAGAATCCAAGGTAATCTTCATTTCAAGATACATGTAGCAAGGGAAATCATATAGATTATCATAACTGCACAATCTTGAAGATTAAAAATGAATTTTAAGCATTTCACTGACATTATACATGTACTTTATAGTATTTATTTTCATGTTGATCTTTGAACATACCGGGTAACTTAAGTACTGCGCCAGGAAAGAAGTTCTTGAGTGACTTTGGGTCCTTTTAACTTGAGAAAGGTCAGAGATCTGACCAAAAGTTTGTCGATATTAGGCACTTCACTTATGTGTACAGTTGTATTGTTTCAATGTTACTCTTCACAGTGTTCTTTACTTTTTTCATACCTGAGTTTTTCCCCCATGATTTCCAGGTTGTTGGTCTGAGCGGAGAGCTGTCGACGACCCGTCAGGACATGGACCATGTAGAGGAGGAGAAGATGCAGCTGCAGGACATGCTGGACAGTCTGCAGCAGGAGCTGCAGTTCCTCAAACATCAGCAGCAGGAGAAGGAGGCGCTGCTGCACCAGGAGAAGACCTGCAGTGCACAGCTGGAGAAAGAAAAACAGGTGAGACCTTTATAAATCAATGATAGCATTTTTTTTGCAATGCTCAGGTGGATGCATTTCTGGCTCTGGAATCTTGGGACTTTCCAAGCTTTCCAAACTTTCCTGTTTTTTTTTTAGATGACTTAGGGGTGGAAGCATTTTTGGCTTGGGAATTTTTGAACTTTTTTTTTGCTTCCACTTCCGCGATGTCTATTGAGTGGAAGCACTTTTGGCTTTGAAATTTTTTTGACTTTCGAAGCCTTTTTTTATTGTATTTTTTCTCTCCTCTTTTGGCCCAGAGGCATTTTTGACTGAACAAATTTTCTGCTTTACTCCAGTCCCTTGCAGAACAGCTGGAGGACCAGAGAGCAGAGAACAAAACCCTGCAGGCCAGGCTGGAGCAGGAGATGACAGAACAGGAGGAGCTGACCAGGGTCAACCAGGACCTGGCCACACTGAAGGCTCAGCACGAGGGACTGGTCACACAGTACCAGGACAAGCTGGCTGAACTGTGCCAGGTCAGCAAGGAACTGGAACAGGCCAAGGGGACTGTACAGACACTACAGAAGCGCCAAGCTGAGGATAAGGTAAAGGTCATTCATATGAATGTCTAAATCTGCTGAAGTGACCAATATATTTTTATTTATAGAGATTTACCACACATTGTGTAACAGGTGACTATCACCTTTTTCAAGATATCAACCCTGAGACCAGACTGTTGAAAACACACACTGGGAAGGGCCCCTATTCTTTTTGTGTGGTGGAATTTTTAACGTGCTTGAGGTATGGCTGTCGTCAAACACAGGGCCTCTGTTTTTCGTCTTGTTCAAGAGGGTGGCACTAACCAAAGCTAGGTACTCATTTTCTCCCAAGTTGAGTGAAGAAATAGGTGTAAAGCATCTTGCCCAAAGGCACAACACTGGGTCAACAACCCTAACCACAAGACCACCTTGCCACCTGTGTTCTTCATCTTAGCCCCTTGTTTGCCCCCCTCCCCAGGAAGCCCTTTCCAACCTGATGTCCACAGCACAGGACCTGAGGCAGCAGGTACACGACAAGACCAGCCAGCTGGCCTCAGTCGAGTCTGAACTGGCTGAGCGCGTGCAGGCCATCCAGATGGCAGAGTCAGTCCGGGAGGAACACCTGCAGACCATCGCAGCACTGCAGCAGGAAACTACCGAGCTGCAGCTGCAGGTGGAGAGGGAGAAGAGCTCACAGGAGTGTGAGGTGGGACAGGGGTGTTCAGAACATGGGCAGTTTTACAGTGTATCTTGTCTCCAAAGCGTTAGAGATAACAAGAAATGATGTTGTCATTTGGGGTTGCAATGAAAATTGAGACTGATGCATGACAGAAGAAAAGAAAATCCAGTCTGATGGAGGATAGAGTGAAGTGCTTTCAAGCTTGGTGCGAGCATGTTTTTTTAAATAGAAAATGTTATGAGATTGGTGTGTTGTCCAAAGAGGTCTTACTTAGATTCAGCATTTCCTAACCTGTATCTGACCAGGTATATATCTATTATTACAGATCAGCATGTTGCGAGAGGACCTGTCCTACACTACAGAGCTGTATTCCCAGCTGACTGAAGAACTGGAGAAACAGAACCAGCACCTGGCTGCCTCTCAAACACAGACAGAAGAAGCCACCAGGAAAATGCTGGAGATACAAAATCTGGTAAGCTTAGTTATTAAGTGCGTAGATTTAAGAAGACACTGTTTATTCTACTGGTAAAAAATGTCTAGCAACCATGATTTTTTTAACATTTTTAATGTTATGTCATCAGCCATCTGAAATCTGCTTACAAACTTGGTCAAACAGAATTATAGTAACACAATCAATTTTTATGGTAATAACAGCTTTGGCTTTTTTTCTTATCTTTTAACAAAATGTTTCTGTATTTTCTTTTTCTCCAGCTTATTGACAAAGACAATGAGCTCAGAGACATGAAAAGACAATTTGAAGAGAAGCTACGTGAAGTCGAGCAGCAGGCCATCATTGAGGTTTGTGTATCTTTCACCACTTAGTGTTGTCCTCCATATCAATGATCAAGAAAAAATTTAACTATGAAATCATAGGATGACATTTTGGAAAGAAACTGATGTGAAAGTCAACCCTTCTCCAGTTACACAGGGATCAGTTGGCAGAAAATCATTAGAAAATTTTATTGAATAGCAAAGTTCTTTATTCACAACCATTTGTTTTACATTTTTGTGTATGAGCCGATGTTTTGATGACCGTCTGTCATCTTCATCAGAGCTCCAGTGCACCGTTAAGAGTCATATTAGTCCTGATGAAGATGACAGACAATCATGGAAATGTCGGCTCATGTAGAACAAAAAAATGGTTGTGAATAAAAGAACTTGACTATTCAAACGTTCATCAACTGATGAAATTATTTACGGATAAGAAAATTTGATGTGTTCTTTATGGATGATGTCGTGTTCTCAGATCTCGCCGGAGACTCCTGAGCGGACAGAGCTGAAGGGTCTAATTGACCGACAGAACGAGGAACTGGACAAGCTGCGCGCTGACCAGGCCACAGTCATGGCACAACTTGACCAGTACGAGACTGCTCGTAAGCTGAAGAATGAGGAAATCTGTGCTCTAAAGGTACAGTTTACACTAGCAAAACACCACGGCAGAACGTACTGCACCTGCGCAAAACCCTTATTTTTCACGTTTTCATTGGATTTTTGGTGCTTGAAATTGACATTCTGTTGTTTGCTTTCTTGACATTTTTTAAACATTTTTTACAGACCGAAAAAGAAAACTTGAAAGCAGAGAGAGACCTGCTGGCTACAACGCTGCAGGGACTCGAGTATAAACTGGAGGCCAACAGGGAAGAAGCAGAGCAGAGGTGGGTTTGTGGTACACAGATTTGAAAATCAGAATCAAAAGAAATATGAAACTATAAACTAAAAAGCGTCCAAAGTTCAGCCTAGGACAGCGGAGGAACAGATTTACAACAGCAGGTTTGCTTTTTTCCTGCAGGGATGCTTTGTACCAGTTTGAGGTGGACAACCTGAAAAGGAACATGGCCAGTCAGAAAACAGCTCTGGATGAAGCTATTAAGACAAAGGTAAGATCACACAAACTCCTTCAAGTCATAGAATAATAGCTGTATCTTTTCGTATTAAACGACTTGCACACAATTGTGATTGCTGATGTATTTTTGTTATTTTCCTTACGTTACAGGATGAGTCAGTTCAGCTTACAATGCAGCTGCAGCAAGAGTGAGTCAATGTTGATTTCACCGTTCACTGTAGCAGACTTAACAGCAAATGATCTCAGTAGTGTTCCTGGGTTGTATTTTTGTGCTTATGTCAAGAGCCTATTTCAGAAATGTATAATTTTCTCATTTCTGTAGCCTATTTGCAAACATTAATGTTATGTGGGGCACTTTGCCTTTTTTGTTGTTACATTGTTCCTCCTTATTGTATTCCACTCCCTGCAGCCTTGATGACTTTAAGGAACAACAGACCAAACTGGATGAGAGTACTGCAATGATGGCAGAAGAACTAGTCAGGTAGGTGGAGACAATACAAAACATAACTGTAAAATACATAAACATCCAGGTAATAATGAGATACACAAGACTGTAAAATTGTATGATTTGGTATTGGCAAAATGTATTTTCAGCTGATTAAAGTAATCATACTTGTCCATTTTTAAGTACAATTGTCTCTCCATGCTGTAGGTTACAGTCCCTAGAGGCAAAACATTTTGAAGAAAAGGAGACTCTCAGATCATGTTTGGAAGAGACTATGGAGGAAAAGACCAGGATTGGCAAGGTGAGTCTTTTATTTTTCTATTTTATAACATTTGGATCATTCAGTTAGCAAGCTTCGCAGTGACTATTCCATATAATTCACATGCAATTATAAAAAAAGTGATGTTTCTTGTATTGGTGGATTTACTTTATTCATTTTGTCACATCTTTCTGTAGGAGTTGAAGAAAATTGAAGCGAAATGTGAACAACTGTCGATGGAGAACACCAAACTTGTGGGTCATCAGAACCATAACCAGAAAATCCAGCTCCACGTGGCCATCAAGAAGGAAAACAATGAACTAAAGGATGTGAGTATGCTTAGATAACATAGAATCATTGAGTACTGTAATTCACGTTATGTTCACAGGAGCAGAAGTTCACAGTCTGAGAAAAAGTGAGACAGTGGCCATGGTGGCCAAAGGTGCAGGAAAAAGAAAGTTGGTAAATTATTTGTTAACGCTAATGATAAGTTCACGGTACAGAAGTAAGTATGAAAAGGCATACACAAAAGTACAGTGAAAAAATCAGTAATTACAGTCATGTTCTGATCAAATTCACTGAACATTGTCCAGGATCCCTACGGTACTAAGACTGAGTGTTACCCGCTTGCCCAATGCACAACAAAGGTTTCATATAGGTCATTATCAGAAAAGATTGGAAAGATTAGCTGCAAAAAAAAACAACACTTTGCCAATACAGACCTGGTGCCAACACACTCCCAAGCCAGCCTTGCCTACAATGAGTTAGTTTAAACATCTTCCCAACAATGAGTCTGTAAAATGTTTGATCAGGAAATCGCCAAGCTGCGAAAGCAACTGTGGCAGAAGAACAACCAGCTGAGCCAGCGGGAAGCTGATGCCGGCAGGTCCAGACACAAGTCAGCCGACGCCGGCACCCAGGGCCGCAACAAGGAGAACCACCACCTGGGACCACAGAACGTCATCGTATGACAGACAGACTTCTGGTACAACCCCTACAGTCCATGTCTGTAACTAACAACACCTCTCACTGGCTTGTATTTCGATGACCTTCTACTTCAAGAACATTTTGTATATATTGATTCTGTCTCTGTTGTCACCATGTGTCTGTATTTGGTGGCACTTATCCAATTAGAAATTAGATCATGTCCTGTCTCCAAAGTCTAATTTGTGCCACACTCTGAGAAAGGTCTTTCTTTGCAAATGTACATTTTGTTGTACGCTAATCTATAAGGTGTAAGAAATGCTTGATGTTTCTGTATTAATGAAGATAGTGGTAGACAGTAATGGCAGATTGCGATTCATACAAGGTATGTTTGACTATTGATGAAGACACTTTGTAACTACATTGTATATGACTGGTGTGGGTACACAACTTACAAGTTCATGAATGGAAAATTACTTATGACTTTTAGCTGAACCATAATTGGTTCAAGTCCACAAAACACAGCCTTGGATCATTTCCTCCATGAATTGAGGTTGGCCTCACTTGAAAATGTACTTTGAAATTCAGAATAATACTCTTCAGCATGTCGCTCATCATCATACCACTAACTGTTCTGTCTTTTTATTTACACACACTTGTGATATGTCTTGTTCTAAATTTTTTATCCTATCAATTTTCGCTCAAATCTCTCTCAGGAATATCAGACATTATCATCTCTCAATGAATTTTAATGTTAACTTAAAGGTTAATGTGCTGGTTTTCAAAAAAGAGTGGCAATGGTGCTTACTATGTACACTTTACCATTTCAAAAATTACTCCTTTTATGAACAGGATCCAGACATGTTATTTCATAGATTAGTTGGTCACTGTAATTTTTATAGGTCAGTCAGGTTAGTTTGTCTTCTAAGCAAAGAATAAATAATATGATTCTGGATGTCTTAACTTGTTTTAGATTTCCATTACTCATTGATGTTAGTGTTTAGATATGAATGTTTGTGAATGTCACAATTTTGTAAGCAATAAATGATAGGTATTTCTATAATTCCTTTTCCTTGTTTTTTTATGTTGTTGGTGCCAAGTTCCTGAAAAATGTCATGTGGATTTTAACTGTTTCAACTGTTAACTCTTTGTTATCACCATGCTACAGCATTTAGTGTCACAAATATGGAGACACAAACTGTTCATTGGTCAAAGTGGTCAACAGCCGACATCACTCAAAAAACTGATAACTTCTTTATTCAAAGCCAATCGTTGGAATGTCTCAGTTCTGTGCAATCTTACAAACAAACTAAAATTGACCCCACCAAACTCATTTACCATTTACAACTTTCTCAAATCATTCTAATATACAGTATAGACTTGACAACAGATATGCTTCTGACAAATCTAGTTGCCCCATTCTAGAGCCTTGACGAACTCTTCTTCTGTGAAGCTCAGCATCTTGGCAGCTTCCACATGCATCTGTAGGTAGGAAATATATACATTACTAGTAAATGAATAACACTGTAACTTACATGTAATTTCACCAACAAATAGTATATCATGACATAGATATTATAGAAAGTGATAAATGAATACAAAGTTTACACGTCAATAAGAAAACAGCACCTTTTGTCGCTTGAGTATGTCGATGAGCTTGAGTTGTTTTTTTAATCCTGCCATGAGTTCGTTCTTCTGTTTCTCCAGACGTTTGTTCTCTGCCTGCAGCTGCTCTACTCTCCTCCGTTCCTGCTCTGTCACGTCCTGTGTGCAAGGTGAAGGGAAAATGCTTCCTGTGAGTTTTTTTTTCAACTTGAACTCCAAAATTGGGGTAGGGATTTTCCCAAGCAGCCTTCATAAACCCTGCTTTGCCTACCGGCATTGAGTCAGTTACTGAGCTAGACAAACTTGCCTTAGCTTGATGTATCTAACTTAGGGAGAAGAGATACTGCTGCAGTGAGTGTTATTTCAGTGGCAAGAAGTGGCCATGGCCCTTGTGGCTTTGCACTGAGCAAGCTTCTTAAAAAAATGCACCTGCATCTGTACATTAATGCTCTCTGAGTGCTGTGGAGTCATACTTTCATTCATTCTCTCTTAGACTTTAAAATCATTCAAGAACTTGCATTTTTAATATCGGTACCTTTGATGATGACTTGGCTTTCTGTAGCTGCAGCTTGTATTTCTCAGCCTCCTCCAGAGCCCTGTTTAACCGCACTTCTGTAGCACTGTGGTTGGTGTCGGCCTGCTTCTGCTGACGTTTCAGCGTCTCCAGTTCCTGAATACATTTACATTAATAGATTTAACATTATCCATACATGTAAGACCAACACATGTCGGCAAAACGTACTGAAACTGATTTTACAGAAACTGACTTTACACAGGGGCAGTACATTCTGCCGACATGCTTGTTTTTCCAAGCAACTACCATTTTGATCTTTACAATACAGTATTGTTGTACACAGTAGAACTTCTTTAATTTCTTAATCTATACCCCATTCCTATATCTTGACCCTGGCTGACCTTCCTGAGTGCAGCCAGCTGCTGCTCCAGACCATCCGACTTCTTCTTGGCGTCTTCAGACAGCTTCTTGAACTTCTCCATCTGAGACTGCTGGGTCTGTGTGGTCCTGGTCAGACGCCCTCGCTCCTCCTCAAGGTCTGAAACACAACAACACTTCTATCATGATATCCATTCACAACAGGGCTCAAATGACTATTTCTGCATACCTGCACTGGTGCACCTGCACCACTTTACTGCAGAACTCATTGCAATTATTTCTTTTCATAGGTGGTAACAGTCAATGCTGCAAATAAAAATCCACATACAACTTCTGTGACCTACATGTACATGTACTGTATAGATAAACCCAGTACATGTGTACATGGATGGTGCTGGTAGACAGGAGAACTACCTGCACAGCTCTTATTTTACCTGAACTAACCTGCATATGCACATGGTATTTCAAGCCCTGATGCTCTCTGTTGTTTACATTTGAATTACATGTGAATAAGATTAATAGTGTTTAGAATTTGTATCATCTTGGCTCAAGATTGTCACCTTTGATTCTTGTGACTAGTGTAGAGTTTTCGTCTCCTCTCTTGGTACATTCATGTCCCAGTCTGTCCACCTCCTCCTGCATCACACGCAGCTTGGCTTTCAGGAACCTGATCTGGGCCTCTGAAACATGAAAACATCTCGTCTTTCACTATCATGAAAGTTCATCTGTGTTGGTAGTGACATATTTAGACTAGAGTTAAAACTTTCGATCCAACACATCTCGTCTTTCCACGACACAAAATTATTACAGATAATCTTCATCAGGAAAAAGTGCTTGTCTTATTTAAACATTTTAATACCTTGTCTGTACATTAATTTCCCAAGACATCTGCATGAACTGTCAACATGGCAAGGCAGGAAGATGTTAACAACTGTTTTCTTGAAGATTGTAGTAATACTAATAGTCATTCCTAGATAAGTACAAGTACAAATGTTCCAATGCTGGTTTGTCCAGATAAACTCTTTGTTCATACCTGTGCATGGTATACATAAAAAAACACAAGCACCCGACCTGCCCCCATCTCCTGTGCAGCTGAAGGTAGAACATCGTCCATGTCAGCCAGGGTTCTCCCTGACTCCACCTCACCCTCCAGTTTAGTGATGGTTTCTGTCAGGGAGAAGTCTGACACCTCGTCAGGCACGGCTACATCTTCAGCTGCCAGCTCTGCCTTGGACCTGGGTCTGAAAATCAGGGAAGGAAGTGATACAGTAACTAATGCCTGATTTTTTTCACTGCACTTTTATGCTTACAGTTTTTACGGTCACTTCTGTACTACAAACAAATCATTCAAACAAAGCAAATTCATAACACAGTTGGGACGTAAGGAAGAAAAATCCAGCTCGTAAGGACAAGAATGTATTACCTGGAGGCTCTGGACTTGTTCCTCTGTTTGGCAAGGTTGGATGTTGGTCTGACTTTAGGTCTGACTACTGGCTCCTCCTGGGGCTCTATGCTCATATGTACAGGATCTGGGGATGTTTCTCTCCTACAGAGATACAAAGGGTTGTGATGCAGTTACTTTACAGACTTACACAGACTACATTTGCATTTAACAAACTGTACATTGTACCATCGAACAGACTCATACAACAATCATCAATGTACCACTGCATATAGATTCTTCTTTTAATCTTCTACTTTATATTTGATGACTACATGTACTAAAGTAGTCTACTTGTGACTTGTGTATAATTAGGTGGACCATACAACATATGAAATACACAAAAGCTCTACTTCTACTACTCAGTCATTGGTTGAAGTGAAATTACAGTCTATTAAAGATGACAGTCAGTTCCAACCTACCCATAGTTTTCTAGGTCGTCGTCCAGGTCTATAGTGGAGACCCTGGACAGCAGGCTGTCCTGTCCCCTCAGCACCTCCTCTGCCTCCTGTACCAGCGTGGCTGTCCTCGCTTCCAGCTCAGCGTTCAGACGCAGGTACTCCTCCTCCTTACTCAAAAGGTCACTAGACGACTTCTGAAAAATCACAGTTTGAGAGAAAAATAATCATCCAACAAAAATTACTACAGGTATTGTGAGAAGTAGAAAATGATGATATCTAATTTTACCAAGGAGGTTAGTCCTTTTTTAACCCCAACGCGACGTTACGACAAGCAAATTAGATCCAGTAGTCAAAATAGAGTAAAACATTGGCATGGGTTAGAAAGGGTCACAAAACGGTTTAGAAGTTAGAGCATGCCTGCACACCTTACTATGAAACGCATGGAAGGAAAATCAAATCCCTAAATTATAACCCCGATCGATCCTTACAGCAAAACATATGTGCAAAGATTTGAAGGCCTTCATGTTACCTTTGCTGTCCCAGGCCTTGAGTTGTTGTCCTTGCTGGAGGGCGGTCTCTTGTTCATGTTTGTCCTACTACCTGCACGACTGGAACTCATCTGAAGCCAGCAGCAAAATAATTTGTACGGATGTCAAAATATACCGGTATGTCCTTAGAGATTCATTCCCTTGGAAACACCCCCCCCCTCCTCGACACACACAAACAGAATCTTGAACGAAAATATCCACAACATCGCTATAATATAATCATTTTTGATCGAATTACGGAAATAAACATGTGCATGTTACCTTTCACAAGCAGGAATGGTCACCTGGATCGGGAAAATGTGAAATTTTAGGAGGAAAACACAAACAACTTTGAAGGTCCTGAAGAATCCCGCTCAGGTCAAAGGTTGTTCAAACACACCGGTACGCAGGTGCGAATATTACATTTCATTCGAAGGTAACAATACATTGGTATTTTTTATTTCCAGTATTGTCCAAATTTTACAAAGATTAATCCATAAATAGTAGAAATAATCAACCAATATATTTTACATAGGATAGCTAAAGAATTTGGAGAGCAGAATTAAAAGTTCGTAAAATTTCAAACCCCTTACCTTTATCCAGTAGAAGTGGTACAGTCTGTCCTGCAATCAGGTCGGGTGCGGTTTGTTATTGTTTCTCAGAATGACACAAAGGTGCGCGTCGGCAGGTGATACAGGTGAAGCCCGTGCAGCTACAGGTACGCAGGTAACAGGTGCGCGGCTACAACCACGGGCACTCGGCTCCTGAGGATGCACACGACACGCGCCTTACGGGATAACAGATCTTGGAGCTGAGATGGAGCACAAGGTAACACGTTAATCATCCAGATATCAAAATAATCACAGCAATGAGAGGTAGCAGAAAATCATGTACTGGTTATGCTATTCCCTCGAAGCTCGAATGTATCGAAAAATAAGAGAATGATAAAATTTCTTTTCACGTCACTTATAGTATAAAGGTGCCGTTCCTCGTAAATATCTTGCGTAAAAGCCTGCGGCAGGTCGGCGTGCCTGGATCACAGTCGCTTTACGTAAGACGCGGAGATGAAAGGACCACTCCGCGTACACTCGTGTGTTGGATGTGGTGTTTCTTGTCGTGAGCAGGAAAGGGCAATAGAATTGAATTCCTTTGTTGGGGATAGGGTTTGCTATAGCCGCCAGTGTCTTTCCAATATTGCACAGATATGATCACATGTTTTGAAAGCTATAGAACCGTTAGATCAAAGACAATGTCCTTGGTTACATCAAGGACATTGATATAATGTGGTTGGTTACATGCAATAAACCGTGCTGTCTTGGACCATATTTATATAATAATCATTGTGTTTTATAGCAGGGTATTCACCCTTTCCAGTTCTTATCATATCCCTAAAAGAGCCATGATTGACAACAGGTTCTTCTCCAAGCAGATGTTGGGTATGCTGTTGTGTAGGTTTATTGACATGGTATCTGTCTATGGTACAGGGGTGTTGTTGTTGTTGTTATCACGACTTGACATCATTTCACTTGCTTCTGATTGAAACCAATTCTTGCCAATTGAATATGATTCTTCTAAGAAACAATTCTAGGCTGCCATTAACTAACCAGGATAAACATGCACTGATTGGTATAGTGTGTCATGGTACAACTGTGCAGGCTTGTATCAGTATTTACACCTAATAGCTTGTACCATGTCCATTACCAAGAAAAACAATGAGTTTCATATATTGATTTTAGTTCAGTAGGTTCCTGCATATTGATCAGAAACTAAGGATCTTTTCTATCCTAAACAACATTGTCTAAATACAGTACCGTACAGTCCATTGTGATAATGTGGTCTAGACATAACGTTAACATGTGCAACTTATGATAACACTTTTTTGTACCTTGTTGTTGTCAAACATGAGAAGGTTCAAACCTTGGCCCTCTGCCATGTCTGGCAAGGGGGAAATCCACTAATTATCTAGAGGGAAGACAACTTTGAATATTTATCTCCCATGTTTTCACTTCGCCCAAACATAAAGATTCCTGACAGGTTTTGTTGTATAGTGTTACTCTTTCTTCGCGTTTTATGTTTTATTTTCTTTAACAAATCCCTTTTCACAAAGCCCATTAGTAGTCCAACCCCAAGTCATGCCCATCCAAGCATGGTAGAAGTAATTTAGTAGAAGTGCAACGTTAGTGGATAGTCGTGACAAGAAATGTTATGAGGCAAACATCAAAACCCTCAGATGCAATCACATTGTCTTGTGCTGACGAAGTTCTGCCCTAGTTGCTATGTCCCATCTAGTATTGCTGTTGTAAATAAGTTTTAAAGTACTGTAAATCACTTTATGTTCGCAGTAGCAAAAGTTAGCTGTCTGAGAAAAATGAACATGTTTGAACAGAACTATACGTTTGCAGTGGTGGCAGGTGCAGCGAAAGTTCGGCAAATTATTTCTTCAGGATAATGATAAGTTAGTTAAGAATACCGCTAAAAGTACCTCTAAAAATTGTGATTTACAGTACTTCAATCTGAGCCTACAGTAGGCCTATTTACCTTCAACTTCTCTGTGGGAACAGTACAAGCTGTACAGTATGCCTATCTTTTCTTGTATTGTCTCTTGGTTAAACCCATGTAATGCGATCAGTATATTCACTAAGTGCCTTTTTTAACCCCCAGGTGTAGTCACCAATTCTCCCAGAAGGACTTCAGTACAGATCTTCACTGCTATTGGATCAGGACTTGAGAAGATTTGTGGGTGAGGAGAGTAGAGGAAGGCCAGCCCGTGAAGACAATGCCATGGGGATCGGGTGCTCTGTTCGCTCCTCCGTACCAAGCACCGACTTTGGTGAGGATTCGCATGAGACCCTCAGGTAAGGGACTTATAAGAACCACATAATATTATCTATTTAGACTTTGATTTTAGTAACTTGGCAAGTTGTTTCTGCTGGTGAATATAAACACAACAAAGCTATGTACTTGTGTTTGTGAGTTAATTTTCAGGATTTATTGTTACAATAGATTAAATGTTTTTATTATGTGAAATATTGTTACAGTAGATTAATACTAGAGCAAAAAGCAATTTAGTCACTATCTTCAGAACAAAAAAACAAGGTTGGTCAAACCAGCTGCCCAGCTTCAATTTCACTCAAGTTACAGAACATGAAATGTAGCCCTTAAGTTATAATCCATTTTGCTCATTTATTTTGTACAATTGCAATACAATTACATGCAACCACCAGCTATACAAACAAATTAATTCTGATATATCCTCGGTCAGTGACCCGGCTGCCCAACATCTGATATATCCTAGGTCGTTGACCCACCCAGTATCTTGTTTACCAGAATCAAAGCACTTCATCTAATAAGCAGACAGATACATTTAAAGAGGGCATAATCCATAACAATCCATATAATGTACGCATGGATAAATTTGCCCACATGTTAAGAACCACCGGTATACTAAGTGTCTGTAATCTTTAACATGAAAACAGCCTACAGTAAAACATTTTGTATACATTATACATTATGACATACATTGATAGTTTTGAAAAATGATAATTTTGTGTCTGAGACAGACATTTATAGTTTTTTTAAAACTTGCAAACCATACACTAGAAATTAATGTCTGACTCAACATTAAACATCTCTAAAATCCCAGTATAAAATATTGAAGACAGAAGAACAGTTATGATATGCCAAGTTTTCTATCCTTTTAGCCCAGCAGCTAACATGAAACCAGGTATGTGTTTTTGCCTACACTTGATGCTTGAGTGGCAGAGCTGGAGAATGGGAGTCCTGTCACTGGGTCAACAGTGGCATTCACTAACAGGGCAGCTATTGTGTGCAAATGCTCTGATCCTGCTGTGTTTAGTTAGGCTTTTCTGGAGAGTCCATTTTCTCAGGGTCTCCATAGCAACTGAGTTAAGAAGTCTGACTGAAAGTTGGTCCACAGGTCAGTCTGTGATGCGGAAAGTCTTTTATTGATCGTGATGTTTGGTGGACCATAATGTCCAAGGTTGATACTGGGTAGTCAGCAATGTTTAGAAGATTAAAACAAAATGCAAACTTTTTTGCTCTAATTTAGAAAATTCAAACGAATTAATATTTTCATAATGTATTATTATGAAGTTGATGATTGTTTAATTGATTTTTGTGGTAAAGTATAAGCAGTTATCGACAAAATTGGCATCAGCCAACTTCACTGTAAGGTTGGCCTTCAGTAAATATTTCCATTGGCAAGGTTAGATTTTTGTCATGTCTGTAACTTAAGTGAAAGGTAAGAAAGATACAAGAGTTTTATTCCTTTGACTAGTCTAGGAAACATATTTACCCAGAATAGATGACTTTACATGTTTGTAGGTACATTTTTAATTTGAAGGAGCTGAATTTTAGGCATTCCAAATAGATTAGCATCAAATTCTCCAAAGTCATTATGTAAGATTCTCCAGACCTACAATGTTCATATCATATTCTTATCATCAGTTAGTTTTTTCTGCTGTCTATAAGTTTGGGCATATCAAAGACATTTGCCATTAGATGAAGGACACACTGTGGCATTTAAGAGGTAAATCAGTTTTTTGTTCGAGTTGTAACAGTAGCACTTCATCCTCCATACAAGGGTCTCTTATCTTCTAACACGTGTACTGCACATATGTCAGCTGGCTTTTGATTATCAGCACTGCAGTGCTACATTTACACCACAATGGTACTACATTCACAGACAAGAGCAATTAAGTACAGCAGGGCTCAAGATGCTTATAACCTGCAATCTGGAAAGTTTTATCAGACAAAGAAGAAATGATAGTATCAGCCATTTATTTTTATTGAGAAATGAAGATATTGAAAGATTTTTTCATCTTTAGTACTTACTTTAAATTTTTCTATTGGGGCTAGAATTGCCATTTAATATTGAGTCCTACCAAGCAATTCTACTAAATTACAGGTGAACATTCTTGCTGGATATTTTGATAAACCTCAATATTTAGATATGGTATTACTGAATAAACCATAATTTTGCATGCATTTTACAAAATACACACTGTCATGTAATACAAATCGGTGCCATGTTGTACATTTAGTGTACCAAGCAATTAACGACCATGTAGGTCAACTAATCTGTAACAGCCGCACGTCCCACTCAGTGTCAACCCAAGTCACACATATTACCTCCTTCCAGAAATTGCTAATAGCATCATAAAACATAAGATATGTACATCAAAGAGAACAGACATACACTTAAAGTCTTGAAATATTTGCAAATTGCTGCACTTTTATTTGGCAGATTTTGCAATCACTCATCTATCTCCACTGCAAAAGCTTATAACACCTGTGAACTGGCACAGGCATCTGTATTATGTCAGTACTTTCATGATTATTGTTTCAGCTGCACAGTCAAAGATACGGCGATCTCTTTGATTTTCACGTTGCTACAAAATCGAGGTTCCCTTACACCCAGCAGAGAGGAGATGCCATCAGCATACCTAATGATGCCTGATTAGCTCTAGGGTATGTCAGTAATGGACCATCTGATAGCTTTAACAATTTGCTAAATGACAGGCCATCGCACCAGAGGAGAGATACGGCCTCCCTGCCATCCCGCGCTGTCATTCTGCAGTCTCCTGTGGGTTGGTGACGTCAGTGGGATGCTGGGAACTATGGAAACCTTATCTTGTCTTGTTGCCAGAGGTTATGTGAAGCGTAGCGTCTCAGCAGGGAGGAACGACAGCATCTGTAGAGAGTATCAACAGTAAATTGATGTCCAGCTGCAATCGGATTGATTTCAAGTCTTTGAAAAAAGCTACATGCAGTTGTAACTTGTAAGTAATGAAAAAGCAAGAGAAATCAGAAAGCAAAATGTGAAGATTTTACAAAATGCCGAAAATGGGGAAAATTATTTAATTGTCTTGGATTTTGGACAGACTTGTAGCTATTGTCTTTAAAATTAACAGTCATGTGCATTAACTAAAAGTTATATAATTGTGAATTTATATTTACCTATACCAGGGCTCAAAATACAGGGGGTACTTTTTTCTGCATACCTCCACTGGTTTAGGTAACATTGAAAATCATCTGTACCAGACTCAAACTTTGACAAGTATGGATTATGCTAAAAACTGTTCAGAAACAGTATGTTTGATATATACCTAGTAGACATGTATGATAGGTGGTAAAAGTCATCCAAATGCAAATAAAAATCCATATATACCCACATGCATATAAAAGTAAACCCAGTACATGTACCAGTACAGGTTAGGTATAGGTAGACATCAGAAATACCTGCACAGCTCCAATTTTACCTGCACTAAGGTGCACATGCACCCAGTATTTCGAGCCCTGCTTACCAATCTACCGATGTTCAAAGTTGTATTTTCCATTTGCTCACTCTGTGTGCTTTTTCTGCCAGTGGGACATACGTGCAGTAATCATGCATCAGTTGGTGATTCTGGCAGGTTGTTTTTGAAATTGTCCGGAGTTGAAGTTGACAAAATACTCGGCCATCTAATGGGCTGTTTGATGTGCAGCCAGTCTGAAGGGCAGAGTCAATAAGTTCCCATGTGCTGACGTCAGTGCAGCGAAACAGAGCTTTGTAATCACTTTCGCTTGCGGCGACCACGACATTTCATCTCTCGGCCCTCAGAGATTATTCTGTGATACTGCAGCAGCTAAACCTTTAAGGAAAACTTTTCAGATAATATCAGATGTTTCTGGCTGCCAAGATGTAAATTCTAAGTGTTTGGCAGGGTCAACAAAAGACTTTGAGACATTTTTTGTATATCCGTGAATAGTTTTGTCAGATTGGTAAGTCACTGAATAAAGAGACTCTTTTTACAGAACAAAAGTGTTTTATTCAGCCAATGATTCAGTGACCATCTGTCTATAGCAGCGACACGTGCAGACGGTCACCAAAACGTTGGCTGAATAAAACACTTACTAGATTTGTATAAAGACTATCTTTCTTAATTTTGTTGCTCAAATCTGTAATGTGAAAAATCTGTCTGAAGATGAATTCCCTCTCTGAAAGCCATATGGTACGCATTATTAGCTAAGGAGACATCAATTTCAAAGCGTGACATTGATCACGCAGTGTTCCATGTCTAGTGGGAACATGAGAGTGAAAGAGACTCCTAGTGTAGTCTACTGTTGTCCAGTTCACCAGATCCATTACAGGAGTGATCCAAGGTACTCAACTGATAAATAACAAATCTGAAAAGACTTGGCAATGTTGTCGAAGGAAGTGTATTCCTGGGTTTTCCAAACACCACATCGTGCATGCCTAAGGGAATGGATAATCATACAACCGAAAATGGCAAGCAGAAACAATCCCCACTGGTAGTCTTTATGTTAATTGATCACAGGTAACATTCGCAGTGTATCACACATGTACACTTTTTACGCTTTCTGCTATTTACGTTATTTACAGTTTCATTATTTAATTTTTAAAGCCACTGCAATATATGATATAGCAGCCAAAATTATTTTGAGCCTTGCCTTGTTTTGAGTCCTATGAAATATCATGATAGAGATTTAGATTTTCATGATAGAGATTTAGATTTTCAGGTACTAGTAACACATATGCATTGGTCCTCAAACCCACGCACAGACTGTGTACTGAAAATGTAATCTCCTTGATGTATTGTGTAGATCTAATTACTGTTTCCCCATCACATTATGAAATGGAATTGAACGTGGGTGCCCTTTATTAACTGTTAGCTGTGGGAGGTTGACAACAGCTGCTGTATGTGTCACCAGGGAAAATTGCAGTTAATAATATTACAAGAGTTACAAGTGTGTTGTATTGAAGAGTTACCTTTAGTTGGCTGTACTATAATCCATTATCTTTTTTCCTTATGACCTGAGCTTCACATTGCATCAGGATTATAAGACACAGTATATTCAGGTGTAGCAGGTGTAAGAAACAAGAGGAGCAAGTAGAAACAGATAAAAACCCCTGGCCCCGGGTCGGGGTTCGAACCCACGACCTCCCAAGCACCAGCTTCAGACTCTGACACTTGAACCACTCAGCCAAAAAGGTCTCGACCCCTCGGCCGGGTCAGTTGGTAGCGCCTATACACCCCCAACCGTTACACAGGCAAGAGTATGCCCCTTACCTGGCAGTTATGTTCTGTCCAAGGGTATATTGTACTACACTGGATAGAAGTTCTTATTACTGTGCATATCACTCCATGTTGACATGTTTTTTGCTTATGTGTTGTTCAGGGCTCCATCGTCGGGTGCCTCTCCACAGGTAGGTCAACGACCTCGTCTCCGTCCACACCGCATCAGCGCCACGTCCTCCAGCAGTGTGGCAGTGACCTTGTACGACCTTGGCAATGGAGAGGACCCTTTCCCGCCAGAATCACAGGTGATTTGTGAAGTACATGATTGTATACTGTATAAGTGTATTGTTCACTTCAATGTCTATCATATCATATCATAGCAAATAGTTACACTGTTACTATCAAGTTCTGAAACTTTAGGGTAGTTGCTATCAGCTTTGATTAGTTTCAATGTTAAAGAACCCTGGCCATATTTTTCATCCATTAGCAATCCAGCCATGCTGAGGAAACACCCCCGATTGTGCGCCGACTGACGCTCACGACCGTGGAGATTACCAGTCACATTCAGACCACGGAAGTCACCATCGCACAACCTCGTGAGCAACCCTCCCAACCTGGCCCTCAGAAAACCTCCCAGGATGCAACAGATCAAAAACCACCCAGCCAGCCCCAATCCAAGGATGCAACAGGTCTTCAATCCCAGGATGCCCCAGCAGGCCTGAAACATGCTGCTGTTGCATCATCCACAGAGCCAAGACCCCCTAAGCCCCCACCAGCTCTGCCTGATTTGAGAGACTTCTCTGAGAATGAAAGGAAACTGTTGTGTGGGAGAGTTGATGCTGATGTTACTTTAAGGCCCAAGCTCATCAGGGTATATGTAGTGTCTTGTGCAGAAGGTAGGTAGAACACTTTACCAGTTCTAATGATTGATGGTATCAATATATACCAGCTGGTGACTAATGGCCCTAATAAAAATTCCCAATGTATACATTTATGTTGGCTTACAATTATTCAGCATTTGGCTTGTATTGTGCCAAAGCATGCCTATATTCCTTTCTAATGGTTTTGTAAATGTCTTCTTCTTCTTCTTCTTATCCGAGTTTTACGTCTATTGATTCCCCGAATCGGGGGTATAGACGTGCTTGCACAGGTGCATGTTCGGGCTTGTCATTTTGCCCCTCAGCATGCTGAGGTGCACAACAGCAAGCCTGTGCAAGACTTTTTTTGAAGCAAGGTTTTTACTGACTGGATGCCCTTCCTAACGTCAAACTCTAAAGTTTTTGACAGCTTTCAGAGACTGGCTGTAGGAGAAAATGTGTGTTAAGTGCCTTTCCCAAGGGCACAACATCGGGGTATGTAGTAGGTGGATTTGAACCCAGGGCCCCCGGGTTCCGGGCCGAAAGCCCTACCACTATACCACACGACGCCACCGTCTTATATCAGTAAAATCATATTGGCACACAGGTAACTAATTCAGATTTTGAATTGCTATCCATATGGCTTCTGAAGGATGTATATGAAGTATGTAGTCTGACATTTTCTATGTGTACATGTTTGAGATTTTTGTTTGTCAGATTCCACACAAGAAAGAGCGGTGCTGAGGGAGAGAGTCAGCCCAGCGCTGAAACATCACTGCGGCATGCTGGGATACCAGTTTGAGCTGGTGGACGTGTGTGAGGGGGTGTCCGAGCAGGAGGTCAACGACCCTGAGTTCCTACAGGCCGCGCTGAGGGAGATGGACGTCTGTATGGAGACGTCTCTCGGACCACAGCTCGTGGTACAGAGATTTAAATTATTCTTAGGAATGTCATAATAACAGAAAGGATTTAAATGGATACACACAACTTACTAACTTAAAGGTAAATTCTGAAAGCATTAAAGCTTTCAGATGGCATTCGCCATCTTTCTTCAGCTACTGATGAGAGCAGTCATGTGATCAAAAGGTTATAAGGTTAAAACAGGTCACATGATGGTGTTGTGTAGGCGGTAGTCAGGAATGTCTTTCATTTTAGACAACCTGTCATTTCAAAGACCAATTAAGGCAGCAAACCACCTCTTTCTTGGTAACATAATGATTGACTCTTTTTTGCATAAGACCATTTTTCATCATCATAAAATGTCAAGGATGTGGTTGCTTAGTACGAAACATGGGTTATGAAAATTTTTTTATGACACTGGGAATATGAAAAATCCTGTTCATGTAGTACTGTCCTATAACATTACTTGTTACATTCTAGCCTCTGCATGGTTTTCATTCATGCAATAACTATAATCATCTTAATACATAATTCTCCAAAAGAAGTTTTGTCCCAAAACATGAAAGAAATTTAGGACATAACTCCTCTTGGTAAGTTATGAATATGATAGGTGTTGTATGTATTGAATTATGACAGAGGGGCTAGAATGTAATAAGTTAGAATACAACATGAATAGGATCCCAGTGTCATTGAAAATCCCAAAAAATCCCTGTGTTTTTACCAAGGTGTTCTTACAGACATTTCTTGCTCTGCCTTGTTACACAGATTCTGTTTGGCCAAAAGTACGGCAGGTTGATGTGTCCCACAAGCATCCCAACTGAGACGTTTGACAAGTTGCTGGCAGCTATCAACAACAGTGATGATAAAGAGACACTCTGCACCTACTATCGCCTTGACAACAACTCTGCTCCTCCCTCATACCAGTTCCAACCAATCAGGCATGAGGAGGGAAAGATGGACAGCTCTGATTGGTTGAATGTGCAGGAACGGCTTCTGAGAATCTTGAGGGAGGGGCTTGATGAGGAATCAAACCTCCTTAAGTCAGGTTTGTCACTCAGGATGTTACAAGTGCCTATAGATTGGCCAATATCTAGCAGAATTCAACAACATTGCATATCTCAAAACTCAACCACCTGTTCCACATTCCAACTGCTAACCACCAAGGAAAATACAGTACCATCAAAATCAATTCAGACATTTTGGAGTAAACAAAATGCAGATGAAAGCATAGCCTTCCTCAGCAGAGGCAATTAGCATGCATTTTTGAGTTAAAAGAATTGTTTTGTTTTTCCTGCTGCAGCTTTGGATCACCAGCTGTGCCACGCCTTCAGCCACCCCAAACTGCAGGCCAGTCAGGTGGCCTGGTTCACCCGCAGGCTGCTGCAGCTGGAGGAACACCTGGCCGACCCTCGGGCGCAGCACTTCCTGGACATCCTGCCGGGGGGCGCTGTGAACACAGATGCACAGCAGAGGCTGCAGGGTCTGGTAGAGGGAACAACATCTCAGCTGTCAGAGGTAAGGGGAACTAGACAGGATTACAAGGAAGGATGAAAAGGAAATGTCAGTGGAAGGTCTGGTTACAAACTCCAAGGTCAGTGACAATTGTATTCCTCTAGGAATGGAATGTTAGGGTGGACCTTATACTGTAAGTCATTTTGTATTTGCTTGAAGATATGTAGCCTTAATCTTACACAATCTCTTCCTGTCAGGGACTGATTCAGTCCTGCTCCCTGAGAGGTAGCTTCTAGGGGCATGACTAGTGGAAGGGTTGTTACAGGTGTGATTTAGCCAGGATACTTGAAGATGTAAACTCTTACTGTACCATCAAAATCAGTTCAAACTTCTACCTTCCGATAGGCAACCTGCATGGCTAACAACATTCCATGGGCAGACGGAGGGATAGACCCCAGAGCTAACCCTGCCCATCAGGAGTACCTGGACTGTCTGCAGACCAGGTGTCAGGCTGACCTGACCGCCATGGTGGACAGGGCAGTTACAGAGGCACAGGCTGAGGAGCAGGACAGCAGGCTCAGTCAGTCCATTCTTCTTCTTCTTCCTTTAATGCCCACTGATCATTCTGGCATACTCATTTTTACCGGAGTCAAGGAAGGAAAGTGTAATGTGCCTTTCCAAAGGGCACAAGATTGGTGACTTGGCATGTTTTGAACCCAGGACCTCCTGGTTCTGAGCTGAATGCTTGATTGTTACTCTGTTGAGTTCATAAAAACCATGCCATTATATCAAACTTTTTCTCAGTCATTGTGAATAATATGTTAAGGATTATGAAATTATGATGTGATATGACAACAGGCTGACTACACCTCTCAAGCTTTGCTTGTTGCCTTTCTTTCAGAATTTGTCAAAACTCTGAGTCTTGAGTTACAACAGCAAGCAGACTTCTGCAACACAACTTCTCAAACATTCCACGGGCACGACAAACTCCTGAACGCGATCGGATCTCACCTCCGCACGGAGAACACCCTCCCATTGGTCATCCACGGCACGGACGGGTGTGGCCGGTCAGCGCTGGCCGCTAAGATAGCAGAACTGGTTCCTCATTGGCAGACAGAGATAACAGCATGTGTCTACAGGGCTGTTAGACTGGGACCCAGCCACTTCAGCGAGGAACAGCTGCTCTGGAGCCTGTGTGAACAGCTGAGGTTACTATATGGACCCAGCACCAGGAAGATGCAAATGGTAGGTGCTGTGGGATTTTCAGCTGTGCTTCGTTGCTGTCAATAGCTTCAAAGGTTATTTCACCTCACTTACTGTACTCCATGATGTTTCTACGTGAAAGTTCCTATTAATTCCAGGTACATGTATGCTATAGAGAACTCGTCATTCATTTTGAATTTGATCATGCCTAAAATCATGCAATTTGAGAGACGTGAATTCCAAATCATTATCTATTGTTTTTTTCGTGCAATTCAACTATTTTGTGTTTTTATTGTGATGTGCTTTATCAAAATTTCATTACATTTTTGCTTTCCACAGGAAATGGGTAGTCTTGCCCAGGACTTTCAATATTTCTTGTCTAGAGCTACACCAGACAGACCCTTGCTGCTGCTTCTAGAGGGTCAGCTACAGGGTGGGGAGGGGGGCACATCTCTGGCTTGGCTGCCGACCTCCCTGCCTCCCAACGTCAGCATGGTGCTTATTGTCAAAACCACTGACATGGAGACAGCCCCTTTCTTAAAGGTATGTCAACTTCATTCTATATTGGTGGGTAGAAAGTAAGTTTTCTTTATCCTTGTAGCATTGTTTCTGCCATAGCTGTGTTTGAAAATGTATAATTTGAGATTCTAGGTGACCAGACACGTCTTTCAGAATATAAAATATACATTTGCTGTATGTGTTGACTAGTTCTTGTGATGCAGAAGAGTACAGTAGTGGATGTATATCGAAATGTCCAGAATTTATCTCAGAATTTGTAATTTATCCAGTAGTAGAGTTTGAATTTTCTATGACTTTTGCTGTTGTCTTAAGGTTTCAGCTGTGTTATTTTTTCCAGACTCTGCCACCTGACTGTTTCATGGAGATGTCTACCCTCCCTCCGGACGAGTGTATGACCATCGCTGACCAGCTTCTCAAGGACAACCAGAGAACTCTGTCCCCCAACCAGCGGGAGACATTCCAGGCAGCTACCGAGAAGTGCCCCCTTCCCCTGTATGCAACTCTGGCAGCCCAGCTTGCTACGGTATGGAGAAGTGATGACTGCGACGTACAGTTACCCACAGATGTTGTTGGTTTGGTGAACCACATGTTGGACAGGCTTGAGGCGAGACACGGCGCAGAGCTGGTAACTGCTGTGGCCAGGTACATCACCGTGGCCAGGCACGGACTCGACCAGTCTGCTTTGTTTGGACTGTTACTACAGAACTCTGAAGTGTTGAGGTTAAAGAAGGGAACAGAGTTACACAGTGTGCCACAGAGTGTTGTCCTGAGGTTGCTGAGTGATATGACTCCTGTCTTGAGTAAAAGAGTGCAAGAGAGTATGGTACTTAGAACATGGAGGTCACACTCTATCGCTGACATCATTGTCAGAAGGTACTTGGGAGCAAAAGATGATGTCAGAACTGCTCATGTTCATCTGAAGGAATTCTATAACAGAATGGTAGCTACAGGGCAAGGTGCTGATCTACACACACATTGGGGTCTCGTGGAGTTGCCTTATCATACATTCCAAACTGAAGGACATCACAAAGCAATCGTGGAGTATTTTCTGAAGTTTGATTGGCTGGCCCGTGCACTTTTTGCTGGGAACGCAACTCTCATTGTCAGTGATGTCAGCATGGCAGCTCATGCCAACCCAGACAATAGTGACCTCTGTCTGTTAAGTGCGGTACTGCAGCAGTCAGCAGAGGCGCTGAGCTATGATGGCAGACAGTTCTGTGTTCAAGTCGTGGAGAGGCTGGTGGATGTCATGAAATCTACTTCGAAAGACAGGTTTCCAGTGATGTGCAATATGTTCAAAAGTGCAAGCGGTTCTCCCTGCAGGCAGTTCACCACTTCAAAAGTATTCCTGAAACAAGTGGCGCCACCTAGCAGCTCATCAGGGAAAAGCAGGAATGGAACCACATTTGAGAAGGCAGAGGAGGAGGAAGGGAACAGTGTGGACCCAGCTGGTGATATCCTGACAGGGCTGTTTGTGGTCAAAGATGACCCAGATCATGTGATCTCCGTCTCCATAGCGACAGGTGAGATCAGACTGTGGGACGTGCACTCCCAGACACCTGTGCAGGTGATCCCAGGTGTGGACCAGCCGCGCCAGGTGTGCTGCATCAACGCCCGCCATATTGTTGTTCTATGCAACCGACAGCTGCAGGTGTATGACCTTGAAGCTGGCAAACTGGAGACGACCTTGAAAGGCATTATGAATGCCACCATGCCGTACTTTGGTATACACGACAGCGACCACGTTGTTGCGCTCTCTCGGAATCGGATGTACGTCAATGTCATCAACGTGACGAGTGGAGATGTGGTTTCCACATTCAAGGCTGGAGAGGTGTGTACTGACATTGTATAGACTCTTAGTTCACTGACCAGAATTGTATGGTAATTGTTGTCAACTCAGTGCTGAAGCTAGCACAGAACTAGGCCTCAGGAATCTTAAATGTTCCCCTGTACTTCCTCCTACAGGACCGTTTTTTGAATAGTTTGTTGATCAGTTCTAACGGAGAGACGGTGGTGTGCGGGGACGAGACCCAGAAGCCCAGCCCGCTGCTCGTCTGGGACCTCATCAACCGCAAACTGGTGCACGACCTGAGGATCATGGGTCACGAGTTCAACGCCAGACTGTCGGCCATCACAAACAACGGCAAATATGTGGCCTCCTGTTGTAAGGTGAGATTTCTATGCAGGTTAGCTAGCATTTCATCTGAAGATAGGTGTACTGGATGACAATCGTTATTACCTACCAGTACTCCAGTATTTCCAGAGGTAAAGTATATGTTTTGACATCCCTGTGTTCTGACATAGGGTTGCAGGAATGTAGGTAGACCATGGGGATGTCTTGGGGACGTAACAGGTTCTGAAGTTTACATCAATAGTTGGGAAGGGGAGCAAACTTAGACTATCATGCATGGTATGAAGAAAATTACCAAGTACTGTTTGTATAATTCTAGGAGCTGATAGACCCGGATGTTAGTCTAGTCATCGTGTACGACCTGAAGACTGGACAGCTGTTCAAGAAGCTGAAGCCTGGAACAGCGGTGGTCAGCCTGGCGCTGTCTGAGGAGTCCATGAGTGCTGTGTTGGGCTGTGGGAATGGGCTGGTACAGGTGTGGGACCTGCTGACTGGGGCCTGTAGGTGAGATATAGCCTGTGATTGTTTAGTGTTACAGATGATACAACGTTGTCCCAAGGCACGGCCGGCCTTTTTCTTGCTACCAAAATATTCTCTAACAGGAGAGCATAAGTGTAATAGTACAAAATGATACATTAACAGAAATGATACCTTTTGCTTTTGGTAGAAAATCAATCAACAATATTTTCTCCGCAGACATGTTCTGGAAGGCCACACCCACCCCATAGACACCCTCCAGCTGGCTGCTGAGGGCCGGAGGTGTCTCACCTTTGACCCTTCACACCATGACCTCAGCATCAGGGTCTGGGACATTATGGAAGGTACTCACAACTTTGAGACATGAACAGCTTTGAACACTATGTTTGCATTGGCAGAGATGCATACCATTTAAATAGGAAAATTTGGTGTAGCAGCAGTGTAAAATTCCCACTTCCCATTCACGGCAAAGAATACTGCACTGTCTCTGGTGCTGAAAGTGTGAGTGTTAGACTTTCTTACAGTTGCAACCTTTTGCAACGGTGGTAGAATTGGATTCAAAAATGTGTCTCCAAATGCCATTTCCAGCAGTGGTGTTTTGATTGTAATCCATCCTGATCTTCTGTTTCCCAGGTCAGTGCCTGGCTGTCCTGACTCCTGACCAACCAATCAGCTGCTGCCAAATCATGGCTGATGGAGAGAGAGTTGTGATTGGTCTACAGGGCAGAGATGACATCATCACTTTGGAACTTCAATCTTCAACATCATCTGATCAGCTCCCTTAGAAATTGTAACATAAGAATAGCACGTTGCCTATTGTTGTGCAAGGCAGACATTGTTATTTTTTAATTGCACATCAGCTGGGCTGATCAGTGAGACCACTAGGTAACAACTTGTATTGTAAAGTTGATGATTTATAGGAGCTGTAAAATTATGTTAGGTGATGTACAAAAATTGTGCCAATAGTTGTCATTGAATAGGACAGAATTTTGTGTAGACCAAGATTTTTGAAAAGATCTTTTTCATGACAGTGTCAAATAAGAGCAAACAATGTCGAGTCAGGCAAAAAATCCCTTGGAAATTTCTTTTTATAGTGGTAAAAAATACAATGAATAGGGATATCCTTTTTGTATTGATGAACATCCTACTGTATATTGTCTTCATGGTAACAAACAATAAGAGGATTGTAAATATATGTTTTTAAGTGTAAGAGTTCTTATAAGAATTTTTCTCTTTCATAAAGGGTGGCAGAATGTTTCTTTATTTAAGGCCTGGTCAGTTGTTTATGTGTAATTCTGATCTTCAGTGAAAAACATCATTGGGAACAAATTTGTGCTATAGATCACAATTATGAACAGACCTGGGGTATTTGTGTGACAATCACGTATGTATGAAAAAGAAAATAAGACAAGGAAGTTTAAGAATACATGTATTACATTTTGAAAACAAAATAATGTCACCCAAATCACTATCCCAGAAAAGGATTCATACCAGTAGTTGTAACTGTGCTATATGTAAGGATTCCAGCTTATTTCAATTTTCCTACCAACTGTCTGGTAGTAAAGAAACTGTCATTTTACACATTTGATAGGTGACATCACTCTCTGTAATGCTGATAATTCAAACAGACCCTTTGGGCATCTCATAGCCAGTCAAACAGGGCAGCTAGCACATTACAAAAAGAACATTCTTTTACACTAGCCTTGTGTATCTATTCTCATGAACATGTAATGTAGTTCATGTCATCTGGACCAAAGGTCATGTGGTGTTCAAAGCTGGCTAGAAAGTACTTACTATTAGACAGATTTTCTCTGATAAATTCCCAAGTTGTGAAGCAATAATTGATATTGTGAAATTCCAGTTTTGCATGTACATACACAGACCGTGATACGAGTGTAGACTGTTACAGCTAAGATACACACTTCTTTGGCCATTCTTCAATTTGCTTTTTAAAAATTTTATGTAGAATTCCCCAATTAGCCACCCTGAGAAATAATTTCAAAGTAGGATGTCAAGTGAGAATCTCCAAGCAAATGTAAGCTCTGGTATGTTTGTATCTTTAAAAACTGTACATATGATACATGTGACAAACAGTCATCTATGGCCAAGGTCGAGGATCATCTCTGTCAGCATAATGTTGCATAGAAGCGTTTGTGCTTGATGTATTGACGTGGTTTGTATTGTGTTTGTGCCAAAAGAAATAACATTCCAGCTCAATCATATCGCCAGATCGATATACGAACATATGTGTGTTGTAAGTTGTTTGTTTCAGTTTGCTTGTTTGTTTGTTGTTAAACCTGTTTTTATTTTACAATATAAGACAACAATGAAGATTGTTGGTCCTGTTATTCTTTTCAGGCAGATTACACGCAATCAATTAACGCACCACCTGGCAGTTTGTTTTTGAACCACAGGCAGCAGGACAAAACTTTATTGTCCAGCTTTTTTACCCTCAATGAAAAAAATGAATATTAGGCATCTCATTGCACAATGCACGACTCATAATCGGATAAATCATCTATGATTTAGTAACTCTATCGGCACTATTTTTTTTACTCCCTCTGGTTTCTGGAATCGCGGATGAGTACGTGTGTTCTGCGGTCACTTGAATTCAGTTCAGTTCAGGCGGCAGGCTCCAGGCGGAACGCTGTGTAGTGTGCGAGTGTAAAGGCTTCCAGAGTTCGGAATTCGTAGCTTTGTGGGGTAGAAGGCGATATTTTCAGAAGAATCCGGTACCAGATTCAGCAACAAGGCCCGGTTTTCGTCTGGGATTCGTTTCAGGTACGTAGAAAAAGCTGCAACAGCAGAGTAGACAAAAGAACGCGGTGTGGCGTGCGCGTGTGACACGTGTGGCGCTCCTGGCGCTCCTTGATTTGATACCGTCTAGACCTTCGCAAACAACGTGTACCTCGAACAAATTATATGTAAACATGATGCTCTTTTGTCCGATTGCTGCAATATATACATGTAATAGCAAGGCGTATGCTATCGGGGGGAAAAGTATGTATGGAATCGGGGATTGCTGCCCCCCCCCCCATCTGGTTTCCATTACGCATAACTGTGAGGTTCTCGGGGGGAGGTTCACTGATGTTTTGCAGGCCTGCTGTAATGTTAATGTTCTGCTAGACCAACTGTGTCAGGGGAGGTTCAGTAATGTTTTGCATACCCCTCTATCTGATGTTCTGCTAGACTAGCCCTTCTGGGAGCGGCAGCATTTGATGTTTGTTTGTGTAGGATCTCGATTAGTGTGAATTTCACACTACTCTTCCTGGTGTCCGTACTGAATAATCAGATAAGTATTCGGACCATCGCACACCGGACCATGTTGTCATTCGGACAGGAAATCGTGCAAGTTGCAAATAAGTGATTGGTTATACTAGACCAGTCAGGGGAGGTTCATTAATGTTTTGCAGGGCCTCTATTTGATGCTCTGCAAGACCAACTACATACATGTGGTAACCAGTTATAAGAGCAGGCAGTCATCAACACATTATCTTGGCTGCCAAACCACAAAGACTTAAGAAGAAGAAGAACACCAAACTTGTAACTCTTGTACATTTTCGTGTTTGACCCCAGGCTTCTCCCTCATCACTACATGTATACACTGTAGTATAGGCTGGTATAAGCCTCCGGAGACTAAATAAAAACTCTCATAAATTAATTTTTCCATCTGATCTTCTTACAGAAGTTGCTCAGGCTGTTACGACCATCATGGCAACAAGTGGAATGGGCTCTAATGAGGTGGAAAGCAGCGTGGAAGGAGAGTTTGGCAGCAGAATGGTGACTGCAAAATCCTACAGGTGTGAGGAGTGCAGCAAGCAGTTCAGTTACCTAAGTCACCTGAAGAGGCACATGCGGACTCACACAGGTGAGAAGCCCAACAGGTGTGAGGAGTGCAACAGGCAGTTCAGTCATCTGGGCCATCTGAAGCGTCACATGCGGACTCACACTGGAGAGAAACCTTACAGGTGTGAGGAATGCAGTAAGCAGTTCAGTCATTTGAGTAATCTGAAGGCTCACATGCGGACTCACACAGGGGAGAAACCCTACAGGTGTGAGGAGTGCAGCAGGCAGTTCAGTACCCTGAGTCAACTGAAGAGGCACATGCACACTCACACTGGGGAGAAACCCTACAGGTGTGAGGAGTGTAGCAGGCAGTTCAGTCAGCGGAGTAGTCTGAAGATTCACATGCGGACTCATACAGGTGAGAATCTCTTCAGGTGTGAGGAGTGCAGCAAGCAGTTCAGTCGTCTGGGTGATCTGAAGACTCACATGCAGACTCACACTGGAGAGAAACCCTACAGGTGTGAGGAGTGCAGCAAGCAGTTCAGTAAGCTGGGTAGTCTGAAGATTCACATGCGGGCTCATACAGGTGAGAAACCCTACAGGTGTGAGTGCAGCAGGCAGTTCACTACTCTGAGTCAACTGAAGAGTCACATGCGGACACACACAGGTGAAAAACCATTTGTGTGTGAGGAGTGCAGCAGACAGTTCAGTCATCTGGGTGGTCTGAAGGCTCATGTGCGGACTCACACTGGTGAGAAGCCCTACAGGTGTGAGGAGTGCAGCAAGCAGTTCAGTCATCTGAGTAATCTGAAGACCCACATGCGGACTCACACTGGAGAGAAGCCTTACAGGTGTGAGGAATGCAGCAGGCAGTTCAGTCAGCTGAGTATTCTGACGACCCACATGCGGACTCACACTGGAGAAAAGCCTTACAGGTGTGAGGAATGCAGCAGGCAGTTCACACAACTGGGTGACCTGAAGACTCACATGCGGACTCACACTGGTGAGAAGCCCTACAGGTGTGAGGAGTGCAGCAAGCAGTTCAGTCAGCTGAGTATTCTGACGACCCACATGCGGACTCACACTGGGAGAAAAGCCTTACAGGTGTGAGGAATGCAGCAGGCAGTTCACACAACTGGGTTACCTGAAGACTCACATGCGGACTCACACAGGGGAGAAACCCTACAGGTGTGAGGAGTGCAGCAGGCAGTTCAGTACCCTGAGTCAACTGAAGAGGCACATGCACACTCACACTGGGGAGAAACCCTACAGGTGTGAGGAGTGTAGCAGGCAGTTCAGTCAGCGGAGTAGTCTGAAGATTCACTTGCGGACTCACACTGGAGAAAAGCCTTACAGGTGTGAGGAATGCAGCAGGCAGTTCACACAACTGGGTGACCTGAAGACTCACATGCGGACTCACACTGGTGAGAAGCCCTACAGGTGTGAGGAGTGCAGCAAGCAGTTCAGTCAACTGGGTAATCTGAAAACCCACATGCGGACTCACACTGGGCGTGATACTTAAAAATGTGAAATTCTGTTGTTACTTACCACTAACAAGTTTTGATAACCTAACAATCATTTTTTTTTGTCAGTTAGCAGGGCATGCAGAATGTCTTGAAGTAGAAGAAAATTGTTGATTAGCTTTCAGTAGTTTGATTTTGCTGTTGTTTCTTGAATCATATTTCTTGGAAAAATCTAGTTTTTAGCTGATAGTGTTAGGCTGAAGTGAAATTAAGCCTTTCATTTTCTAATAAATTTCTAATAGATGACAATGCACTAAACCCTAAAGGGATATTTAGTCATTTAATCAATCTACGTATGTTTGTTGTTCCTTTCTATCCAGGAGTTCTTTCTTAGCAAAACCCAGTACTGGTAACTGTGTATTTGCAGTTGGATCCATTTAGACTTCCTTAGATGAAAAATTAGCTAATCTACTTGTGTTTGATATTTCTTTTTCTCACATTTGGTTAAGTGTTTTCTAGCAGTAACTGTTAAACTTCCTGAGACATTTTTTGTTTGGTATAGCTAGAGTTGTTCAAGTTACAGGTGTTAACGTGTGAAATAAAGTTCAGCGTTTGACTTGAATTTGTCTTGTGTATAATTGAACTAAGATAATTTTATGTTAATGCTAGGCAGCTACCTGAACACTGATGTAAACCTTGTAGAATGTCCTTGTCTAAACTGACTTTCTGATGGTGAAATAGTGTTTCTTGAATCTTGTTTACATTTGACAACAAATTACGGTAGTATCATAGTTACATATTGTAAATATATGTGTCCTGCATGCCAAGCAAAACTAACAAGTTAGTAATATTCGCTATGTCGCCTATAGCCTTCATGCCAGGCCCAGCATAGTCAGCCCCGAACTAGCTTAATACAAATATGAATACTGTTTATTCACATTGATTGGCAGCCAGTGTTGGTACGGCATTGACAATTAAAATTAAACAGATTTCAGATTTTCATAGGTCGGTTCATTTAAAAACAGGCGGACTATTTAAAAATTTTGATTACTGTGGCTTAATGCCTGGAAGAGGAATGATTTTTTCAATCTTTCACTCCTAAATTTTGGTGTGGAGATGTGGTTTAACATTGGGCAAGTTAACGGACTCCATAAAGTTATGGCCCTGTCACAGGCCCAACTTTTAGTCGAAGGACAATTTGCAAAAACGAGGAATACTAGTATATTGAATTAAAACTCCTTGATTAGCTGCACCTTACAAGCGAAAATGAGTGGATGTTATAAGGCCGATTTCCTGTTGTTTACTGTCACCTGTTGGTGTGCTCCAAACTAAATTTCTACTCTCCAAGCAGAGGTTTGGGTTTAGGCTTATTTTTGGCGTTTTTAGGCTTTTTTTTTTAGTGTTTTTTTTCGCACTGGAATTTGTTGGGTTGGCTTAAAAAATTTCTAGTGCAAAAAAAGAAGAAACCCCGCTAAAAAACACGCCGAAAAATAACCCAAACCTCTGCTTGGATAGTACAAAAGTCTTTGTTTGCACGCACCTTTCCAGTCACGTGACACCTGTTGATCAGTTTCACTAACATGGCGGCAGGTGTGTGAACACGGAAGTAAGAAAGGGGGACATCGCGTCAAACTTTCCTGTATTATGCAAGCTTCTAGTAGAGCTGAGGTGTTCTAACATACTGTCTGAGGTAATGTGAACATGACAGACACCGATAGCGTGAGCAGCTCGCAGCTGTCCGGACCGGGGGAGGGCGGGACAGCGGACCGGGCCGTCATCACTTTTAGGCGGACTTCGACGCCCAAGAAGCCCGGACCATGGGCACTTACAGAGAACGAGAGCTCCTCGCTCAACGTCAGCGTGGTTTCCAGCGGCTCAGAGTCGGGAGGGGTCCATCTGGAGGCTACGATTGTCGGGAAGGAGTTGTTAGAGGCGCAACAGAGAGTCACGGTAAGTGTCTGGAAACGGAAAACTTCTGTTGTGAACTTCATTGCCATGGTCATGCCCTTATTGTAAACATTGTGCTTTAAACGTAACGCGTTCGGTTAAACTTTAATAGAGGCATATGTTTTGGCATACGTGTATAACGTCCGTTACATCTTTGGATGTAAATTAACTGATAATCTCATTGAGTAACATCAATTTTAGAAATTTCAGTTTTAACTTTTATAATTTTTGATCAATCATGATCGGTTTTTGGATCAGGCTTGATCATGATTACATGGTGAAACAGCTTGCACCAAAGTACATCAAATGCATACTATACATAGCTATTAATCTTGTGAGACTTTAATATGGGAGAGAATGATTTTCAGAAAATATGATTTTTTTATTATTTATTTTTTTTTCTTCCTTCAAATGTCAGCTGTACAAGGTAGAGGTTCAACAGGGTGACATGAGGAAATGGATTGTTCTGAGGAGATACAAGGATTTTCTGCTGCTCAACAAAAAGGTATGAGAACAAGTCCTAACTTTGTAGTTTGTCTATTCACTGAACAACTTGTTGTCCATGATTACTTTACCATGATACTCTGTAAGGGTACAATGCAAGGGTACTGAAATATAACCGTTGTTTGTAGTTTCTTCCTCATTCCGATACTGATTGACTCAGAGAAGTTTGCCATATAAAAGGAACTGTTTTTGAGGAAAGAACACCAAAGTTACATTTAATCAAACATCAAAGATAAGGATCAGAGAATGCCAACCATTATAATAACCTCTTACAGACCTTAATCGTCGATCACATGCAGAAATTTCTGTTTGATATAACGTACTTCCTACAGTTTGTTTTGTAAATAAATCATTCTTTTTCCTTGCTGCAGTTACAGAAAATGTTCCCTGCCCTGCACTTAAACCTGCCACCAAAAAGATTCTTCAGAGACAACTTTGATCCAGGTATGGAGAGCTGCAAGTTATACAAATGACTTATATACACTCTATTATGAGTATGCCATGCCATTAGAGATATCTTTAGACTAGCACCTCAGCAGAAACACAAGCCCCATGTACATGTATCCTGCCTCTGGTTCAAGACAGTCTGTAAATACACCTTTGTTACGTGTCAGACTGGAATGTCTACTGCAATCTTTTGCATACATGGTGGCCAGTACCAAGGACAGTGTCCCTTACTTACTCAGCCCACATACATGTACAATGTATCTAGATAAAAAGAACTAAATGGTATGTAGAAACAAGGTCAACAGTGTACTGTGCATTGGCAGGTGCTATACAGACAACAAACAATTTGTTAAAACTTATAAGAGTGAAAAGTATAACGGTTCCAGTTGTACCAAATGTTTGAAGTGAATAAATCGCCTTGTGCTGTGAATTGTTTATATCACTAGAGCTGGCATTTGCACAGCCAAAGAAACAGGTCACATCATCACATGCCTGCTGGGTCAAACACCTGTATGTGTCCACATGGGTGTTCAAAGGTCATAAATTGCTTTGTTATTGAATAGGTGTATGATGCAACTAGTAAGTTATAACCAACGTTTGTTATCTGGCTACCATCATCTTCGAGTCTTCTGTAATAAAAATTTGATACACGAGTTGTTTGACTTAAGAAGTAGTTTTGTACTGATACGAATTAACACCATTTCTACTTCTGGCTGGAGATTTAACTTTATTATTGCATGGAATGATGGTGTATTTGTCAGCAAACATGTTAACCTACATGGTTTGCTCTATCTCTCCCGACCCCCCCCCCCCCCAGTATTCATTCAGCAGAGACAGAGAGGACTGAATGACTTCATCCGAAACCTCTTGGGTCAGAGGGAGATGGCTAAAAGGTCAGCTGAACAGAACATGACAGTCGTAATATTACAAAATCCACGTAACATTTTAGCTTACCAAGAGTCGACTTGACTCCAGAAATATCATTTTAAAGATGTTGTATGGGGACACAATTCTGTCAATTCACTTGTCAATATTTTTCCTAGTATATGGACACGAAAGGAATGTAAAGTTCATTATTGCATATTGTTACTGAGTACAGTTTCAATTTATGTTTTTTTTCCCCAATAGTCTCCCAGTTCGCAAGTTCTTCAGACTGGACAACCCTCCTGAGCCTCATGAAGACCTCGAGGCCAGCCAGGTAAACTGTGACAACCAGTTCAACCACTGTGTAATTACAGACACACAGCAGCAAATGGTTAATATCATACAAACTGACATGCTAAGGTTTTGGACAGAGATGCATTTTGGTATATTGTCATTATAATAGTAGCACCTAACCCAAAAGACGACTAAAATGTGTTGTCTTCAGCTGTACTGCAGTTCACTTGAGGACACGGTGGTGTCCTTGAAGCAGCAGAACCGTGACCTTGAGGCAGAGGTGGAGGCCATGAGGGTGGAACTGGCCCACGTTAAGACGGAGGGGGACCACACCCTCCAGGTGTCGTCATGGCAACAGCATCACCAGAGGGGGGTGGATGAACAGATGAGGGTGAGAGTTGCTTCATCAGATCAGACATGTTGGGGTGGGGGTGAAATTGGGAGGAAATTGGGAATACTAATCCATGGAGATTGTCGAAAACATTTTGTGAAATAGTTGCAGCATTTTTATGATTGCCATTTTCACAATGCTCTTCTTGCATTATACATTGTATTACAATGGCTAATAGATTAACTTACATCACTACAGTATATTAAACTTCTGGAGTAATTTTGTTTCTTCACAGTTAAAAGTAGTCCTTGGAACACTAACTGCAACTATTGTTCCCAATGTATTTATGGGCCTTGGCACTTTTCCTCTAATTTTCCCCGATATCCCCAGACTGTTACTGCAACTACTGTTCCCCATGTCAGGGTCTGCAGCTGCAGCTGTCGCAGGTGCAGGAGAGGGAGCAGCAGGTGGCAGAGGAGCTGCAGAAGCTGCGGAACGAGATCGAGGCTGAGAGGGCTGCAGCAGCTGCAGCTCAGGAACTGGAGACGCAACGCAGAGACACCAAGCTGAAGCAACAGGTGTGTGTGTGGGGGGGGGAGATAACAACTAGGAAAGAGATTTAAACCTGATGTGAAAATTTAATTTGCTGCACATTTTTACTCTGTGATCCTATTGTAAGCTAAGTGTAAAGTATCTCATTCTTTAGTGATATTTTGAACCTAATAGTAGTCATAGTTATGTTGCTTTTGGGATCTATCTTTAAGTTAATGTTATGAATACACAGGTATAAGTAAGCAGAAACAAAAGAACAATTTACTCAGGCAGAGCTTGTACTTGAGGGTTGAATGCCAAAATGATTGGACATGTTACTGGGCATGTTAAAATGGCAGGAAGATGACATTATCAGTGAATTGTGATGTATGAAACATACAGCTATCCTCAGGGTCAATATGGGTACAAAGGTGTTGCCTGTTGTTCCTGTACAGATGCTGGAGTTTGAAGCCCAGTACCAGGAGGTGGATCAGAAGGTCGGCCACCTGCTGGTAGCCTTCAGCGAGCTGCCGAATGTTGAAGTGACGGTCGGTGGGCGGAGCTTCGAACTGAAGGCACAGGATGCCATCCCTGAACAGGCCAAGAACCTGAAACAGGTTAGACATGCTGTACATTTGGTCAATTTTGATTTTTATTATTTTATTAATAAATCTAAATCTGGCACAAGGGGATCTATGGTTTAAAAGTTCTTTCTTCAGTCATAGTGTAAGGATACAATATACACCCCCACAAAAACTATTGGACCAGTCCGGTCAGAGGTCACGGACTGCACATGTTCTGACAAGAATACATTTCATATCCCAGCACTTCTCGCATCTTCATTCCTGGAGTGATTACTTATAAGTTCCAATATCTTCACCAACTGGACACTTATATTGGTGGCAGCGGTGTCTGGCTTCGAACTCCCGCCAGCTCTGTCTTGTGGATCGCATTTGGAGCACATTGCCGACCGACGTTCGAGCGCCCCCCTCCCCCACCTGGTTGACTCGTGTCTACCCTGCTCTACCAAGACTCCAGGTATGGCTAACCTCCATCCGTTTACGCTAGAAGACGATGAGGAAATTACCTTTCCACGGCTGCGACCACTGTTGTCACCTTCAGAAATTTCCCCCATTCAATCCCGTGGCGCATCCGGTGTCCGAACTGCAACCACCCTCCCAGGCGCCCTCCCACGTACAACACCACAGGTGGGTCCCACACCACTGTACAATCAGTATGCTCAGTCTGCTTACGCTACAGGATCTTTTCCTGGTAGGGGTACCGTGCCCACAGCCACGTCTGTTGCTGAATCCAACACTCATGGGACCAGCCCTGCCGGGGCTTCTTACCACCAGGCTCCACCCCCTGCCATGACTCAGGACACCACCAACCAGCAACCCTCGTCAGACCTCCGCCTCAAGACAAGACTGCCACCCACATTTAACGGCACTGATGATGACTTCACCTTGTGGCTCAACAAATTTGACCTTTATGCCACTTCTCAGAAGTACACCCCTGAGGAACGTGCCATGGCCCTCCCAACTTTCCTTGACCACCATGCCCTGCGTTTCTACCTTGGTTTGCCGAGGCAGGCCCGTGCTACCTATTCAACACTGACTCAGCGCCTGGCCACTGCCTTTTCCAAGGAACACTACATTTACACGTTCCGCCAGTCGCTCCAGGAACGAACACGCCAACCTGGAGAGCCCTTGATCGTATTTGCACTTGATCTACGCAGGTTGGTAAGCCAAGCCTATCCTGAGTACAACGAAGCAGCGGTTGAGGGGCTTACCTTGGACTACTTCTTCAGGGGAATTGATCCTACCATCCGCAGACGGCTTCGCGAGGTGCAGGCCACAACAGTGGACCAAGCAGTCAAAACCGCTACCATGCTGGAACAGGCCGCTACAGCAGCTGCATGGGAGGCCAACAACGCTCATGCTGTCGATCCTACCTTCCATCACCCCGCGGTGAGTGCCGTCCGCAACGATACCTCCCTACACCGTACTGTTGCTGACCTGGCCCGCCAAGTATCAGACTTGACAGACCTCTTGAAACACCACCGCATCTCCCCCACCGATGACCCTCCGCGGTCCACGTCTCCTTTCCGTCCCCGATCCAGAGGGAGATCACCGTTCCGCTCATCAGACGCCAGCCGACGTTCTGCTCGCTCCCCTTCTTG